GTAATGATTGTGCTAAGTGGCTAATGGGCATGTAGCTACTAACATGTTTCAGATGATACGTCATGTTTGTAGTCGACCAATGAAGATGAGTTTACATATCACCTTGGGTTCGTCCTTCACCTTCTCAAAATGATCCCACACTTTTGATTTCCTGCCCGACATGTTATTAACTAGCCTGTGGAATAACCGCAGGTACCAGCCCTGGATGCCACATCTTAAACCACTTGAAAAATGTAAGGTCAGGCACTGGGCGCTACTTTTTCCCCTTTTTTGTGCCAGCTTTCAAGAGCGTGGCGGCAGGCATCATATCAGAGCTTATTTACCTGAAATCCTGAGTGGTGAGCTGATCCTCTTCCAAGAGCTGTTTATAAGTGTGTAGACCTATCGTCTGTGGGACACATGTAAAACTCTGGGTATCCCTGCACTGAAATGATCAACTTTTCCATATTTATCACAAAATGATATTTACAGAAGAAGGGAAAGATATCTGTCGGCTGTGATTGGTTTGTAACGTGACTCCTGTCTGACCGCTGGGCGTGGCCTCTTCCTGTGTCTGTCCTTTCAAAATACTGTAAATTCCCACATGGTCTAGTCATATAGGTTCTGATTTATTTTGACAAAACCAAAGGCACTCATTTGGATTTTGTTAATTTTAAGAGTGAACCTATATATCTCTATATAATTTTAGCCTATTGTGCCTGCAATGCATATTCCTAAATAGATTTATGAGTGTTTGTGAGTGTATTTTGGGCAACAGGCGCCCAGCAACATTTTTTTTCCTCTGTGGCCCACCAACAGGTTTTTTTTATATATGTAATGAAATAGAAATATAAATCTTAAAGCAGTGTTCCAAACTGGACCAGTTTGCTCAAGATTCAAAATAGGTCTTGTTATAACCTAATGACCACAGGAAATAGTGATCTTAAAATTGTCTTGCACTACGTGTTTTCATTACATTTAACAAAGCTATCCAAAATATCCCTGAAAGCCTCCTCTTCTCCACCCCCAGCAGTTTAGAGTTGATACAGGAGAGTGTCATAATGGGCTAAACTGTAATTTCGCTCCAAGAAACAATTCACTCTTTGGGTTTAGATTAGATGGGAAATTTCAGAAATTTATCTCTTTCCATTTAAGTGTTGGCGGATGACAGCTTTGAAAACCGGAACAGCTTGTGCTTGAGCTTAAAATACCCTGAATCTGTTTGTTTTCTGTCCATGCATTTCTGATGAAGTCCTTCACAGTGATTTATCCTGCTGGCTGTGTGTAGATTCTCTCTGTGATCAAGTCCCCGATGCACACAGCGTGCTCATTATGGGTGTGTGATGGAGCTGGTATTATTAGATTTGGTGTGGAGTCGATGGGCCCCCGTGAGATCCAGGTAATACGAGACGCCAGATCCCAGCGAGCAGGCGGAGCGATGTGGCAGGACAGAATGAGCAGAAAGCCGTGCTGTGTGTGTCCTCAGGCAACATGTAGTGAGAAGGCGGGTTAGGAGAGAAAAAACATGGTTGGAGAGGTAATGTGTTTGTATCATAAAGACTGGTACATTGGGCACACTTGCCGGTGTGAATTTGTGTTGGTATGTGAAAGAGAGAAATGTGACGAGAGATGGAGGAAAAATAAAGATGAGACAGTTTGCAGCTGCAAGTGTGCACAGCTGTTTCCATGTGCACACCTTCATAGCTGACAAGTCTACACATCCTCTAATTTTAGGCATTGACCGATATACTGGCAGTAATTGCTAGTTTCTATTATAGCCTGAAAATCAGACTGAATTGCCATTATGTTTCATGTCATTCATTCAGTCTGACATTGTGTTTGTGTTCATTTCTGTTTGAAAGGGAAGGTCGTTGGACCTCATTCACCAATGTCATTGGAAGCATTTCCTTAGTACAGAAAAGACGTTTTAAGCGGCAGAATTTTCTCACCTGTGTACTTTTCCTCATGAATCCCATTGTCCTCGTAGGTTGAAAGAGCGTGTCAGTTGATCCTAATTAGCGCAGGTAAACACTATGCAAATCCTAATAAAAGAGCACGGCACTGCAGGGCCGTGTGCATACACAATAGTCGGAAGAACAAAAGTTAAGAGAATTATGTTACCCAAACCGAAGTCTAAAGAGCGTGGGTCACTGAGCTCCAAAAAATTCAGTAGTTCTGAAGTGGAGGTGCTTCTGCATGAAGTGAACGCCAAGTGAGCTGTCATATTTAGTAGCGTCAGGATATAAAATAACAAAAAAAAGATGCGTGAGATGCAAAAAATACATTTTAATGAACCTTCTTACCTGCAACCACAAACTTTATGCATTATAGTAGCACAACTGTTTAGACTGAGGACAGAGACGAGTGCCATGGCGTCCAAGGTGTGTATGTGTGTTTGAGGGGGAGAGCTGGATGGTGGAAGGTGGACTATTTTGCGCAATGCTTCAATAAGTTATTCAAAACTTACACAGAACGCTGCTTTGTCACTTTTTGTCTCGCCACCTAAACCACCCATAATATTTTCTAGCAATCACTAAGTATTAGATGGCATGTTTCACATTAATATAACTGATATGAACTGAAGTGTTGGTCTAGTTATAACTGGTAATATAAATCCTATAATATTCTACAATTGAAGAATTAAAGAAAATGCAATTACCAGTTATTCTGCAACATGTCAGCACTCAAATGTGAGTAAGGGGGCGATCACACAGAAATGAGACGCTAGAGACGTGGACGCTTCAAAGACGCTTGAAACGCTGGAAGTGCTTATTCATTGCGCGCTAGACAAAAAAAAAAAAAAAGCAAGTAGCGCCTGTGGAGTGGGGGTGCGTGCGCAACACACACACACACATCTCCTGTCTTCTCCCTATGTCTCCCCTTGAATATAGTGTTTCCCTCAAAGACAGTAGAGACAGTACTAGCTACATGAAACTATCACGAGCTATCAAATCAAATCAAATCCAACTTTGTTTATATAGCACTTTTCATACATAAAAATGCAGCACAAAAACTGTGAACTATGAAATAAGGTCACCAGCCCTCTCACATATCCCACTGTCTGAAAGTTAACTAGCTGCTACGACGATATTGTCGTCGTCAATTACATTGTACTCACCAGACAAATTTGTTGCGCTGCTCGCACAGCTCCATGCATATCTCCTCCTGTGTTTGTTCGAGTATTGAGGTGTGCGTGTGTTGTATAATTCTTAAAAATCAAATACTGTCAGGATAAATTTCTCCTCTTCGGATTGCATTGTGTTGTCTGTCACTCATAACTGCCGTAAACTGCCGTAACTGACCAAACTGCCGTAACTGCCACAACAAAACAGGAAGGAGGATTTGATTGGCTGCCTGGGCCAATGACGACAATGACGAATGGTGCTACTGGTGCCTGACGCTCAAAAAGTTGAAAATATTTTAACTTTTCAGTGTCTACGCGCATCTAAAAAGACGCCAGAAAAGTGCCCGTCTAAAAAGACGCTTGAACGCCGGTCAGACGCGCCGTATCATAGGAAAACAATTGTTTTACTGGTGTCGTGCTTCTAGCGTTTCATCTCTGTGTGATCGCCCCCTAAGTGTGCTTTTGAGGGTGTGTAGATTCTTAACTAAGAACAAATCCCAAATAAGAAAGCATTGGTGAATGTCAGAAAACTGCTGGCTGTGTGTAGATTCCAGAAAACTGCGTAAGTGGGATTTTAAAAGGAAATGTCATCTTAAGAACAGTTGTTGAATGAGGCCCATTGTTTTTTGTTTTGCCTTAGCTGATTAGTAGTAACATAGCCATCCCATCATCCATTTGCAGCAGACATGGCGACTGTAGTTGCCAGAAGCAGACACTAAATGTTTTTCATATTTGACAAAATAAAATTTGATTTACATTTTTTTTTTTTTTGTGAGTTGGAAGTTTCCGTTTGTTTCGGATGAGCGCAGTGTGAATCACACACATAGAGTCACACTGCAGTCCATGAGTTTGTGTAGAGTTTCACTTACCATCAAAATATAATAGCCAGAGTTGTGTTACAGATGACATTTCACTTCCTCCTCCTCACAGGAAGCAGACACGGACGATCAGCAGGGAACGCTGACATACGAAGAGTTCTCTGTCTTCTACAAGATGATGTCTCTGCGACGGGACCTGTTCCTGCTGATGATGGCGTACAGTGACAGAAAGGATCACTTGACAGCGGAGGAGCTGGCCAACTTCCTGCGCAATGAGCAGAAGGTGAGAGGTGACGCCTGCCTCGGGATGGAGACAATAAAATTCTCACCCAGTGATGTTAAACTGGACACATTTTTATGATGAGGTGTCCAAACTACTCCCCCACCCCAATCAGCCATTTCAGTTTTAGATCCACCAACACAATAGAGATTGATTATGTTCTCGTTCTCCCTCCTTTAGTCTAACATGTAACTCCCTCCGTCTCAGCTGTCTGCCCAGAGGAATCTGCTTCACTAAGCCAATCTATCACGCCTAAAATTGGTTTGTCTCATGGGAGCCCTTTTCTTGTTCCTTACACTTTTTCTTCGCTCTATTTTTTCTTTCAGTGTTTTTCTTTGTGTTTCTGACACACTCTTTTCTCTCTTACACTGTTATGGTGTCATTTTTCATCATGCTGTATTTACCGCCTCCAGCCCGCGATACTCAGGATTAATACTGTTCTCTGACTGCTTGTTTGACATGGCTGACAATTAATTTAATAGCAACACAAATGCGTTATAATAAAGATGGGAAATCATTCTGACTGCATTTAGCATTTACACGGGGATTGAATCATTTTTACTACGTCTCGAAGAGTCTAAACATGCTTTTTGTTCTTCTTTTTGTCTCTACAGATGGCCAATGTGACTCCAGAGTATGTGGCAGAAATCATTGACAAGTTTGAGGTGTCAGATGAGAATAAACAAAGAGGAGTCTTAGGGATTGAAGGTAACTTTCCCCCGTTTCACTTTCTTCATGAACGCCTTTATTTTCAAATTTTCTTTCATTTTTTTTCCATCTTCCCCCCTTTTATCTGTCATCGCCACCATCAGTTTTCATCAATTACTCTGTTACATGCTCTCAAAACAGATCTCAAAATCAGGCAGTGATGCAGTGTACACCATTATGAAGTTTGCTTAGGAGGTGTCAACCTGCAAGAGCAGAGTTGAACTGATTGTATTGCCTAAGATTATGTGACACTGGCTGGTTCACAGAATGAATGGTTATTGCTTACACCATTAATTAACCAGTAAGCATTCATTAAGTCATTCATTTTGCGAACCACTTATCCTGTTGGAGGTCGCAGGGGAGCTGGAGCCTATCCCAGCTGACATTGGCCGATCGACCGTTACCAGACTATGGGACGTGGATGACAGACAACACACATGCAACCATTTACGCTCACATTCACACCTACGGCCAATTTAGAGTCACCAGTTACCCTAACCTGCATGTCTTTGGACTGTGGGAGAAAACCCACGCTGACACAGGGAGAACATGTAAAGTCCTCACAGAGGGGCTCCCCCAACCCAGGGTTCGGACCAGGGACCCTCTTGCTGTGAGGTGACAATGCTAAATGGGATTAATAATGAAGAAATGAGAGTTAACATGATCTACAGATTTTCCTTGGCTCAGCTAGAAAGCTTGAGCACAAAATTAAACATTTTTTGATCATTTTTATCACAGAATATTTTAGGGTTTTGTTGAGCCATTTCATCTGAAATAATATGTACAGTATAAAAGAATCACGAGACTCACTTTCCAAAATTAGAAGATCTTTGGCTTCTAGCAAGGTTTAACATATGATTCAAGAAAACTTTCTGATGTGCACGTGTCCTTATTTTTGGTTTAAACAACATAAAACACTTGTCTATTTTAAAGGAAATTGAAATTTAAAAGTCAAGTGTGCAGGACTAACGGACATCTATTGGCAGAAATGGTACATAATATTCACAGTTATGTTTTCATTAGTTCATCTGATACTAAGAATTGTGTTTTTGCTACCTTTGAATGAGCCGTTTCTATCTACACATGAAGTGTGTCCTCTTCTACAGAGTCCGCCATGTTGTTTCTACAGTAGCCCAAACCAGACAAACCAAACACTGGCACTCGATAAGGCCATTTGCATTCCTGCCTTGGTCACCGTAGTTATCCTGCATGCGAGGTGCATAGTTTCAGTTCTGCAACCTTACTGCTAGATGCCACTAAATCCCACACGCTGTGCCTTTAAGGGCAATTTAATAATAATTTAATCAGGATTTTTTTGAAATGTTGGAGCAAATTTACCAATTCAATTGCCTCTGATATCAACCATTTATATTTACTGTGAATTCCAACCCTCATTATAAAACCCTTAAATCCTGACAATGAGTGTGGCTGAAATCCTAAAAAGAATAACCATGAATGTTCTGGGATTTTGTCTTTGGCAAGTGTTCATCTCTCAGTGTCATTTCAGGTAATGCCACATGCAACTGAAGGGTGAGCTTAAGGGAGAAGAAGGAGTGAGGATTGAAAGGGGTGGCTGGAGTGAGAAGAATTGGGAAGTCAGAATGAGGGCGGTGGGAGAGAGAAAATGAGAGTGTGACAGGAATGAGAGGAGTGAGTATGGGGAGAGGAGATGAGAGGGGGAGGAGGAAGGGTGAGACTAATCTTGTTGTTGGAGGCATGAAGGCTAACACTGTGTGTGTGTGTGTGTGTGTGTGTGTGTGTGTGTCTGACTGATCAGACCAGTATGCCTGCAGGCCAGAAATGTGTGTGTTTAAGCATGCATTGTGCACAGATGTGACAGCAATGTACAAACAGATTCACATTAACATCTTTTTACAGTGTGATGAGCTGTTACCTACAGTACTTCATGTCATCACAGCATGCGGTTAAAATCTGAAGGCAGCCATGATGGCACCATGATGAGATTACATGTCCTGTCTGATCACCGACTTCCCGTATCAAAAATCTTTCCCACATTTGCGTCACATTTTTCCATTTCTCCTCCACAGTCTCCATTTACATGTTAACTGTCTGCTTTTTTCCCTTGTCTGCTTTCTGACTTTTTCCTGATTTTTCATGCTCTTGGTATTCTTGTCTCAGTTCTAGCCCCCTCTCTGGATGAAAGAGTGCTTTCTTCCTTCTCACTCCTCTTCATGCTTTACTACCTAAAAAAAGTTGGCTGTGTGAAGTATATCCGCCAGTACCGTGGCTTCAAACCTCACCACTCTGGTGTGAAACCACAGCACTCTGGTTTGAATGTGCATGTCTGTCATCCTTTGGTATATTCCTGGAGATCAACCTGCAAATGAAGAGATATATTGAAGATGTCACTGCTAGGAGCTGTTAGAAGGTGCATGATATGATCTGGTGGCTGGCAGTTTGAAATAGAAAAGTTTTTGTGTTGCGGCGTTCACTTTTATCTCGGAATATTAAAACTAAATGTAAATCTGATCCACAGGGGACGCAGGATCACTGCATGACACACAACATTTAAAATGCTTAGCTGTCTTCCAACATTACCTCTGCAACTGACGTCTCCACTTCAACATATGTCAATCAACAAGACAAAGAGTCTGCAACCACGCAGGTGGTTAAATGTTCATCCTCCTGAGACCCTGTGTCCTCATATGAGGACATTACATTTTGGGTTTACTGGACCTTCTACTTCATTCTGCTCAACTTAGACCTGTTATCCTTGTTTGTGGACACTTTTGCCTGTCATCTAGTGGTAGCAAAAGCACAATACACTAATCCATGTAAATACAAGATGGCAGCCATCTCTGCCAAGTTAATCGGCAACAAACTCAATGGTTGAGTCTTTTTTATTTATGATTAATAACCTTTGTAGTTTCATATGTCATTGATATGCAATTTGACCTAGTTTAGCAATGATAACTAAGATGCTGTTAACTCTAAAGTACTCGAAGACAGTAGGACTTCATTGTTGTCTCGTTTAAGGATGTAGGGACTTTATTATCATTGACAATGTTTAGTCCTTTATACTTATCATGGCTTACTAATCCTACTAATAATTAAACTGCATACCAAACAAAGGTTCAGGTCTCAGGAGGATGTGCTTATGTTAAACAGGTATTGTGTTTCAACCTATCCCCAGGCAACAGTTTGTTTGATATCTGACAAGTTAGCACCCCACAAACGACGTGAAGGACTTAATATAAAATTAAGTATGTTGGGTTTAGGAGAGAAGGATTATTTATGGTATGTTTAGGAAAAGAAACATGACAATGACGCACCTTAAAATAGACACAGTTCCAAACACCAGCCTGCTGAGGGAAGGTCCTGTGTTGTTTTATGATCCAGCACCCCAATCTGCCTCCTTATGCTGACTTTTGGTTTTTATATACCTTCTTTCTCCGGTCAGTGCGTTGGTCACATGATAGCAATCTTCCTGATTATGTGGATTATGCACAAATTAGTGGCTCATGATTACATGGATTATATAGGAATTGTTATGCATTACTTTTTGTAGGTAAACATACGAACATTGCCTGAGAGCAGTTTGTATGTTTACCATATTCACCATCTTAGTTTAGTTTGTTTACAGGCTAACATTTGCTAAACTAGCAAACAAGCACTTAACACAAAGTACAGCTGTGGTTGATGCTAATGTCCTTAGTTTTGCCAAAATTTGGTCATGAACCAAAGCAATGGGATAACTTGAATGTTTGACCAGACAATGGAGCTAGACGAAGAGTCAGAGGATATTACAACTTATCCTGTTGGCCAACATAAATATCTGTGCCTAGTTTAAAGGAAGTAGTTATTAAGATATTTCACACAAAAAAAGCAGTGCTATTGGAAAAGTCAGAAAATCATCAAAGTCAGCAGGGTAAATCCTTTTGGGAACATGAATTTGACATTTCGGCAGCTTGTATCCACGACCTCATTCTTTCAGTCACTACCCAGAGCTCATGACCATAGGTTATGGGGTTGGGATGTAGATGGACCAGTAAATCGAAAGCTTCGCCTTACAGCTCAGCTCCCTCTTCACCATGACGGTCTGGTGCAGCGCCCACATCACTGCATACAGTACAGGCCAAAAGTTTGGACACACCTTCTCATTCAATGCGTTTTCTTTATTTTCATGACTATTTACATTGTAGATTCTCACTGAAGGCATCAAAACTATGAATGAACACATGTGGAGTTATGTACTTAACAAAAAAAGGTGAAATAACTGAAAACATGTTTTATATTCTAGTTTCTTCAAAATAGCCACCCTTTGCTCTGATTACTGCTTTGCACACTCTTGGCATTCTCTCCATGAGCTTCAAGAGGTAGTCACCTGAAATGGTTTTCCAACAGTCTTGAAGGAGCTCCCAGAGGTGTTTAGCACTTGTTGGCCCCTTTGCCTTCACTCTGCTGTCCAGCTCACCCCAAACCATCTCGATTGGGTTCAGGTCCGGTGACTGTGGAGGCCAGGTCATCTGCCGCAGCACTCCATCACTCTCCTTCTTGGTCAAATAGCCCTTACACAGCCTGGAGGTGTGTTTGGGGTCATTGTCCTGTTGAAAAATAAATGATCGTCCAACTAAACGCTAACCGGATGGGATGGCATGTCACTGCAGGATGCTGTGGTAGCCATGCTGGTTCAGTGTGCCTTCAATTTTGAATAAATCCCCAACAGTGTCACCAGCAAAACACCCCCACACCATCACACCTCCTCCTCCATGCTTCACAGTGGGAACCAGGCATGTGGAATCCATCCGTTCACCTTTTCTGCGTCTCACAAAGACACGGCGGTTGGAACCAAAGATCTCAAATTTGGACTCATCAGACCAAAGCACAGATTTCCACTGGTCTAATGTCCATTCCTTGTGTTTCTTGGCCCAAACAAATCTCTTCTGCTTGTTGCCTCTCCTTAGCAGTGGTTTTCTAGCAGCTATTTGACCATGAAGGCCTGATTGGCGCAGTCTCCTCTTAACAGTTGTTCTAGAGATGGGTCTGCTGCTAGAACTCTGTGTGGCATTCATCTGGTCTCTGATCTGAGCTGCTGTTAACTTGTGATTTCTGAGGCTGGTGACTCGGATGAACTTATCCTCAGAAGCAGAGGTGACTCTTGGTCTTCCTTTCCTGGGTCGGTCCTCATGTGTGCCAGTTTCGTTGTAGCGCTTGATGGTTTTTGCGACTCCACTTGAGGACACATTTAAAGTTTTTGCAATTTTCCGGACTGAGTGACCTTCATTTCTTAAAGTAATGATGGCCACTCGTTTTTCTTTAGTTAGCTGATTGGTTCTTGCCATAATATGAATTTTAACAGTTGTCCAATAGGGCTGTCGGCTGTGTATTAACCTGACTTCTGCACAACACAACTGATGGTCCCAACCGCATTGATAAAGCAAGGAATTCCACTAATTAACCCTGATAAGGCACACCTGTGAAGTGGAAACCATTTCAGGTGACTACCTCTTGAAGCTCATGGAGAGAATGCCAAGAGTGTGCAAAGCAGTAATCAGAGCAAAGGGTGGCTATTTTGAAGAAACTAGAATATAAAACATGTTTTCAGTTATTTCACCTTTTTTTGTTAAGTACATAACTCCACATGTGTTCATTCATAGTTTTGATGCCTTCAGTGAGAATCTACAATGTAAATAGTCATGAAAATAAAGAAAACGCATTGAATGAGAAGGTGTGTCCAAACTTTTGGCCTGTACTGTACACCACACCAAACCGCTGATCTGTCTCATGCTCCATTCTACTCTCACTTGTGAACAAGATCCCAAGATACTTGAACTCGCTCACTTCAGGTAGTAACTGTCTTCCAACCTGGAGGGGGCAATCCACTGTTTTCTGGCAGATAACCATGGCCTCAGACCCTGGAGTGCTGACTCTCATCCTGACTGCTTCACACTCAGCTGCAAACCACTCCAGTGCATGCTGGAGGTCATGGTGTGATGAGGCCAACAGAACCACATCATCTGCAAAAAGCAGATATGCAATTCTGAGGTCACCCTTAGAAACAGGGTAAGGAGCTTGGCCATCCGGAGGGAGCTCGGATTAGATCCGCTGCTCCTTCGTGTTGAAAGGGGTCAGTTGAGGTGGTTCAGGCATCTGATCAGGATGCCTCTTGGGTGCCTCCCTTAGACCAGTGATGTCCCACTGGTAGGAGGCCCTGGGGCAGACCCAGAACATGCCGGAGGGATTACATATCTCATCTGGCCTGGGAACGCCTTGGGGTCCTCCAGGAGGAGCTGGAGAGCATTGCTGGGGAGAGGGACGTCTGGAATATTTTGCTCGGCCTGCTGTCCACACAACCTGGCTTCGGATAAGTGGTTGAAAAAGAATGGATGGATGGAACATGAATGTATGTACAGATGTCATGCCAATCCATCCAAAACTTCAGTCTGGACCAAAGTGGTGCTCATACCAACAGGCGGACAGCACTGCCATCCACATTAGCATGGCTAAAAATAAATTATGTCCAAGCACATGTAACGTTTTTTAATCCAATATTCAAAGCTGCAAAAATGTATTAAAATTAGGCAGAATTCTTTAACGGTGCCTGGTTTGACTCTAAATTATTATTTTTCTCTCATAAATATGTATTTTCTTTCAGGTTTTACAAGTTTCATGCGCAGTCCAACGTGTGACATTTTCAACCCTTTGCACCACGAGGTGAATCAAGACATGGATCAGCCTCTGTGTAACTACTTCATCGCCTCCTCTCATAATACATACTTGACTGGGGACCAGCTCCTCTCCCACTCCAAGACCGACATGTATGCCTGGGTGCTGCAGTCTGGCTGCCGCTGTGTAGAAGGTAAGCACATATTTAAATATCGACTGAGGCCTCTTCCACGAATTTTTGACGTGTCACAGTAGGAAAACCATCCAAATAAATGATAACATTATGCATGGCTGAATTCGATTCTGGCCTTATGCATTTTTAAGCAATTTCACTGTCACAGACAAATTTTCAGTGTCAGAATAAATCAAGAGTTTTACGTCAGTTGATGCATGCTCCCTTGATCGTGATAAGTGAGTGTGAGTGTAAGGTGGTTATAAAACTGTAGATCTGTCTTGAGTCAGTCTTTGCAGTCACACGGTGTGCTTGCAGTTCTGGAAAAATTAAATATGTTCAAAATTATTGTAAGTTTTTGGTAGTGGCTCATGGTAAAGAATAGCTGCGCTCTCTCCAGCACCAAACAAGAAGCAGTAAAACAGGTAGACATTAAGGGATGGAAGGGACTGGAGGTGCAGCATCATGAACAAGTCTCTGTTCTCTTGTACTGTGAAAAGGGAGGAGAAACTGGTGGAGTTGTGAAGTGAACAAGAGTCAGTGTTTAATTTGGCGTGTATCTGATCCACAAACCAGGACAAAACCTTGTTTTTGAATTGGTTTCCAATTCCCACGGTGTCCTCCCAGTAAAATAGTGCAGTGAGTTGAGACAACAAAATCCATATAATCCATTGCATCTATAGGACACCATTTATCTTGTGTTCCTAGAGCTATGTGTTTCTGTGGTTAAGTAAGGAACTGTCAATATTTCATATTTCTTTTAATGAGATTGGTGTCTCATCCCGACCGCTTCACACCCGGCTGCAAACCGCCCCAGTGTATGCTGGAGGTCACAGTGTGATGAAGCCAACAGAACCACATCATCTGCAAAAGCAGATATGCAATTCTGTGGTCACCCTTAGAGATTGGGTAAGGAGCTCGGACATCCGGAGAGAGCTCAGATTAGAGCCGCTGCTCCTTTGAGTCGAAAGGGGTCACTTGAGGTGGTTCGGGCATCTGATCAGGATGCCTGAGATTGGTGTAATATTTTCCACGGGGAGCAGGATGGGAAATAATCTTTAAAGGAATCTAGTCTTGGAAATATGAGCCTGCACAATCCCCAGTCTTTGTAAAATGCCACAGTGTGTGACTAAAAAGATGTGAGGGTGGGGTGTCAGACTTTAGTCTTTAAAAAGTCTTTTCAAAGTCTTCTGGTGTATGGCAGGCATTAGCTGCTACAGCTTCAGGGTCCTGGTATTGTGCATGTTGGCTCACTGTCACACTCTCACGGCGTACTGGGACATTTGCATACAACAGAGCTGTCATTATTGTTTTTAGTCAGACCTGTACCTTTCCTACTGTAACATGTAAAAATGTCTGCTTAGGGATGTTTGTGGATGTTAAGGATGTTTACTGCTGAGCAGTGTGGAACATTTTTTTAACGTTTCTAAATTGAAACTCAGCACCCATTTTGCTGTGTTTATGTTTGCTAATAAAATTTGAAAAGGCCCACAGATGCTAAAGCACTGAAATAATAAAACCCCAGTCTGACAATTTTGCACATGCTATTGCTTGACCATTACTTTCATTCACACTAGTTTGTGTCCCAGACTGAATAAAAACACCAGAGTTCGTCAAGAGAATGTGAAATAGCTGAGACATCAAGTACAAATGAAATCGACTGCCTTCTCCATATTCAAAGCAGTGAGGAGACACAGAAAACTGGGAACAGTAACATGATGTGTTGTTTTATTCATGCATTATTTCTTCTGTTTTTCCCTGCAGTGGACTGTTGGGACGGTCCTGATGGAGAGCCGATGGTCCAACATGGCTACACACTGACCTCCAAGATTCCGTTCAAATCTGTCATAGAGACCATCAATAAATATGCCTTCATAAATAACCAGTGAGTCAAAGCTCCCTATAGTGTGTGTGTGCATGTGTGTTTGTGACATCTTATGGAAATTGCTTCCATTATCCCATTGGTATTGTACTGGGAGAAAATGGCCCAGAATACCAAATAGAAATGCAATTTAACTTATGTTTTCTCACTCATATAAATCTGACTGAAACATCATTTCTGGTTGACATTCAGAAGAGCACATGATGTCCTCTGCTTCAGGACAAACAGCACAAGACATCTCTAAGCACAGAGATTTTATTATTGATTGTAAATTGTTCTCTTCTGTTTGATTGTGTTGCTTTATGTGGTCCACTAATGGATGAGTTATAATGGCATCAGCATGCTCATAAAAGGCTGCAGAGCTGTGTTTGTCCTCACAAAACAACTCTCAAACTAGCATTTCTCCCACTGTTATAATGAAATATCTATGAATTTGATGGAAGGCTTCCCCACAAGATTTAATGAGAAAGTTGCAACATTTAGACAGCCAGGTTTGTGTTTTTCAGAGAACATTGTGATTCCTGGCAGTAATTAGCACCTATTACTCAACCATCTGTTTAGCAGCGTTTCCTCTGGCTCCCCAAGGAGCCACTATTTGTCTCTGCTGGGTCCAACTATACCCAAACAAAGTGGTGAATGATGCAGCTTCCTGCTGCCACATTGGCTCGCTTTGACATCTATTGCAGCTACTTAGGAGTACAGCGCCTGTGTTATAAAGCTATTTATTTCATGACAGTGTTGGAGTAGAATCAATTTATGGAGAAGTGTAAGTACATTTGGCAATAGATGATAAAAGTTTCAGTAAAATTAATAAGGCTGCCGTCTGTTCTTCATCGTCTTATTTTCTGGTTGTCAACTTTAAGACATTCATTCTTTCAATTTTGAGCAGGTTATCCATAATATAGCCATAAAAGGATAGTTCACAGCAGAATCAAAAATATGTATGTATCCTTTTACCTGTAGTGCTGCAACTCCGCCAAAACAATCTAGACTATATCTAGATTGTTTTGGCGGAGTTGCAGAATGTTGGAGATATCAGCTGTAGAGATGTCTGTCTTCTCTCAAATACACTGCCTGGCCAAAAAAAAAGTCACCACCAAAAAAAAAGGTCATACACTCTAATATTTCGTTGGACCGCCTTTAGCTTTGATTACGGCACGCATTCGCTGTGGCATTGTTTCGATAAGCTTCTGCAATGTCACAAGATTTATTTCCATCCAGTGTTGCATTAATTTTTCACCAAGATCTTGCATTGATGATGGTAGAGTCTGACCGCTGCGCAAAGCCTTCTCCAGCACATCCCAAAGATTCTCAATGGGGTTAAGGTCTGGACTCTGTGGTGGCCAATCCATGTGTGAAAATGATGTCTCATGCTCCCTGAACCAGTCTTTCACAATTTGAGCCCGATGAATCCTGGCATTGTCATCTTGGAATATGCCCGTGCCATCAGGGAAGAAAAAATCCATTGATGGAATAACCTGGTCATTCAGTATATTCAGGTAGTCAGCTGACCTCATTCTTTGAGCACATACTGTTGCTGAACTTAGACCTGACCAACTGCAGCAACCCCAGATCATAACACTGCCCCCACAGGCTTGTACAGTAGGCACTAGGCATGATGGGTGCATCACTTCATCTGCCTCTCTTCTTACCCTGATGCGCCCATCACTCTGGAACAGGGTAAATCTGGACTCATCAGACCACATGACCTTCTTCCATTGCTCCAGAGTCCAATCTTTATGCTCCCTAGCAAATTGAAGCCTTTTTTTCTGGTTAGCCTCACTGATTAGTGGTTTTCTTAAGGCTACACAGCTGTTCAGTCCCAATCCCTTGAGTTCCCTTCGCATTGTGCGTGTGGAAATGCTCTTACTTTCACTATTAAACATAGCCCTGAGTTCTACTGTTGTTTTTCTTCGATTTGATCTCACCAAACGTTTAAGTGATCGCCGATCACGATCACTGAGGATTTTTTTCTGGCCACATTTCTTCCTCGAAAACGATGGGTCCCCACTATCCTTCTAGTTTTTAATAATGCGTTGGACAGTTCTTAACCCAATTTTAGTAGTTTCTGCAATCTCCTTAGATGTTTTCTCTGCTTGATGCATGCCAATGATTTGACCCTTCTCAAACAGACTAACATCTTTTCCACGACCACGGGATGTGTCTTTCAACATGGTTGTTTAGGAAATGAGAAGCAACTCATTGCACCAGTTGGGGTTAAATAACTTGTTGCCAGCTGAAAGATAATCGCCCATGCAGTAATTATCCAATAGGAGGCTCATACCTATTTGCTTAGTTAAATCCAGGTGGCGACTTTTTTTTTGGCCAGGCAGTGTATAATGGAACTAGACAGCAGACCTTGTTGTGAGCATGTAGGAACTGTTTTCTTCCTACTGAACTACACCTGCCAATGGAATCACTACGCAAATGGAAGACTGTATACTCATGGACAAGAGGCTCGTGCTGTTGTTGATTTTAGTTCAATAGTTAAGCTAGCTAACATTACAGCTCAGCCAAGGAGAACGCTATTAATGTTTATACATCTCACTGTCACAAGCAGCCTCTTGTCCACGAGTAGCTGCACTATGGACTACTATTGTGTATTTTATTCTTTGGTTTTTTTTGTACAGTTTAAACAAACTAGATATGATGCAGGTACAGTAGTAGTTAGATTTTGGTACATGCGGACAGAGCCAGACTTGTTTTCCCTGCTGTCTCCAGTCTTTATGCCAAACTAAACTCATATGCTGGCTGTAGCTTTACATTTAATGGACAGGTGAGAGTGCTATTGATCTATTCATTAAACTCATGGCAAGAACACAAACTGTTAATGGGTCGTATTTATACAATGCTTTTCTTGTCTTAACGGCCACTCAAAGTGCTTGACAACACAAGCACTGTTCACCTCTTTACACAGACAGTCACACACTAATGGGTGAGGCTGCCATAAGGTGCCTCCTGCTCATCTGATAAACATTCACATGCAATCACACACAGATGGCACAGCCATCGGTCGGACTCTGGGGCTCAGTATCTTGACACTTTGACACGTAGACTGCAAAGACCATCAACCTTCAGATTGGTAGACGACCACTCCTGAGCCACAGTCGCCCACCAATAAGGGTTTATCTCCAAATGTTTTCTTTTAACTGTATCAGCAATTAATCACAGATCAAAATATGCTAACAATCAACAAAACAGGAAGGCAAAATAAGGACAGACACAACAGCCGACCGAACATGCCTGATTTCAGAGAGTAGATGGGACATTCCCATAAATTCCCATATTTTTTTTTTTAATTCTATGGTTAGAGGTAAAATGATTAGTTAATTAAGTCAACTGAATAAAAAACAACTTTTTATAATAGTGTAATAGTCATTTTTCAGGCAAAAATGTCAAACTTTCATCTTGGTGTGGAATCACTGCTTTTCTTCATCCTACTTCAGGAGTAGGCAACCTGCGGCTCTGGCACCACATGTGGCTCTTTAGCCCCTCTCCAGTGGCACCCTGCGGCTTTGACAAAAAAAAAAAAAAAAACATGATGTGGAAATGAAAAAGGGTTATTTCTTCATATTATAATTTAAATTTATCAATGTTATACACCTAAAAAAAATTCTTACATCCTCCATTTGAAAAAATGTGAAGCCTCTATACCAAATTAAAAAAATGTTCTAACATTTCAACAATTTCAGTCTACTACCTTGCACTTTTTCCTTGATTTTTTTTAACCTTGATAGCAGTGGCCAATCTTCCTAGCTGGTTAGCTAGGGATGGTCAAAAATGGCTCTTTTGATAGTAAAGGTTGCCGACCCCTGTCCTACTTGATGTAACATTTTACATTTGAACCTTTTATAGGCCAAATGATCTTCAGTTAGCTGAGACAATAATTGGCAGATGACTCTATGATGAAAATAACTGTTGAATAGCTTTTAAACTGAGTGATAAAGTTGTACTGTACTTTTCCTAAACTGTTTTAGTCGACAAGACTTTTTTTTTTCTCACGAGGGTAAGTTCTTTGCATTCCTCTGCTAATTAGATTAAGGATTAATGTGGTCTTTCACATGCTAATTTGGAGATATCTGTATACTTATATGAACTTGCACTGTATTAATTAGTAATCTGTAATAATTCTGACAGCTAGAACACGTGAATAAATTGAACATCCTGTGCGTTATCTCTCGTCTCTCTTTGCTCTGCCATTCTCGCCTTTCACATTTAGCTAATATTTTATCATCAGTGCCACCTGTTGATATGATTAATGGCCCCTTAGCTGTATTGAAATGGAGTGAGTCTTGGCACACACACAGACACACACACACACACACACACACACACACACACGACACAGCTCATTGAGCCGCCTCACTGTTTCACCTGAGAGGAGCTCCTGGATGTTGCTGTCTGTGTGTCGGAGTGAAATGACTCTGGATGTTCCTCTCTCTGTTGTCTCTTTTTTGTCTTTGGCAGAGGACTCGTGTGTGTGTGTGTGTGTGCGTGTGTGTTTTGTGGATGAGAGGTGGAGTTGAGAGCAGGGCTGCGTTCCCTGAGGGAGAGCTGTCAGTCTGACAAACTTGACATTTCAGCTGAGCTGCCGTGTGGCCACAAGTCATTTCACCTTTTCTAAATGAAAACACAGGCACACGCATATCACTTCCACACACACACACACACACACACACACACACACACACCATGCCACAGAGGTGAAGAGGTTTTTATGCAGCTGTATTTTTATCATTTACCTCCTCACTCTTCTGCTGTTTGGAAGTGAGAAATCAAAGTACAGTCTCAGATCTGGTTCACACTCATAGCAGCAGATCAGTCTCACTTCGGTCCACTGGCTTCATTCAAGACACGTTTTCCAAGTGTGGATGGGTTTTGATGTTATTTATCGAAATCTAATATGTATGTTAATCATTTCTTCTTTCAGGTACCCAGTAATTCTGTCCATAGAGAACCACTGTAGCATCCAGCAGCAGAAGAAGATTGCTCAGTACCTGCGAGAAATCTTTGGAGAAAAACTGGACGTCAGAGACGCACTGAGCAGAGACTCCAAAACGTTACCCAGTCCTCAGAATCTGCTGGGCAAGATACTCATCAAAGTAAGGACACATCTATGGACACAGCTGATGGGTGGTGGACTTGCAGTTCATGTTTTTAAATGACTACATAAATTGCTAAATTAAAATATGCCCAGTCAGTAAGTGCACTTGCAAATCAAAGCATCTGCACAGCACGTCTCCGTTTCCTTCCTCTTATTTCAGCCAAGAAAGCGGAGCTCTCGTTATCTCTCTATATTTGACTTCATGTGCATTGCTGTACTGAGGATGGGGAGCGGGAGAGGCACTGCGAGGCAGCTAATTATTGCCCGTAAACACATGAAGAGAGGGAAGAGCAGAAAGGGAGGACAAACTAGGTCATTGTATTAATCATAAAAGGGAAAGGAGAGAAGGATGAGATGCTGGCGTGTGATAGCTGAGCGACAGATTGTTGCATTTTATATATATTTTTCCAACACACATACACAAACAGGGGCACACGCACAAAGACAACCTGCACGGCGACTCAGCTGGGGTCTGTCAGACTATTCATTATTTAAATTGGTACTAGTCACAGCAATTCTGCAATTAACCATGAAGAATATATGAATATTTAAAGACATGTTTAAATTAGATGAAACATACACACTGCTACCACTGCTGCAGAGCTTACACAGAATCAGTGTTTTATTTCCCTGGTTAAAACTAAACTGGGAAGTAAAACTTTACCATTAACCATTTAACAGCACTTTTGGTTTTCATAATTCAGATTCAGAAAACTCACTAATATTCTCAGTGCGGCAATATCCCCTAAATGATTCATAATAAATAATGCAGTTTTTTAGTAACTTTAATTTAAGTCACTCTATAGGTAGGACACATTATCAGTCCTTAAAACACCCCTGGCACACATTCAGATTGTGAAGTTGCTCCGCAGGCGCTGCATTGCAGACTAACATTAACCAGAGACCGCTGCGAAATCTTTTGGTTAATGTCAGTGTTTTTTACTCTGGCATGCTTTGCAGCTGCTTCTCCAGGGAGACAGCAGCAGCATGGCTTGTTTGTTTCAAGTACAGGAAGGAGGCTACAGAGTGGTTGTGGTTCAGGTTCTGTTTCTTTCCACCAGTCACCTGTGACCGTGTCTTTTAAACATGATATTCTCTTTGGAGACCCTGGGCCCTTTTTAACAGCTCAAAACACACACTGAGTCCTTCTATCAGCTTGATGCCTAATGACTAATTTTATTACCACTAATTAGCACTAAATTTAGTACTAATTGTATGAGGATTGCTTTTTGAACTGATGACCTGTTTGAGGTCTCAGAGACACTGTCTGTATAGCATGGTTAAATAAAAGGGTGTCAAACCCCTTCCAAATCCCAAGTAAGTCTATTTCAATTTCTGCTTGGGGAATTAGTTGTCTCTGAATGGGTTTTTGGCAAACAAAATAAAAATATATTTTTTGGAATAGCTCATTAAGCATGTGCAAGATTAAATATTTCCTTATTTAGTGTGTTTATGGACATTTCTGAATTTTGATAAAAGCGGTGGTAAAGCGAAGAGTTGCCACTTCAAACTTTGGAACATATTTTGTATTCATAAAGTCAGAAAAAAAGAAAAAAATACCACTGTAGTCTTTTCCATGAAGAAAACTACCCACAAAATGAACACTGAATGGCTTCCCAGTATGTTAACAATATGCAAAAACAAAGAGAAAAACAAAACAAAGCTGGATGTTACAGACTATATCCATATGATGAACACTGAACAATACCCTCTCTTAATTTAACTGATAACCTGCTTCTCATGGCCGATAACTGATACGATAACCGATAATTTTACATTTTTTTTGTTTTAAAAAGAAGTGTATAACCTGTAGTTTATGTACACTTAAGGGAAAGACAGGCTCAGATATAGTGATAAAATATGGCTGATTTAAAGGGGAACTCATGTTTTTTTCAACCTGGGCCCTACTACTACTTTTGTCTAAATGCGTGATAGGATGTTCAATATTTGACATTTCTCCAGAACGAAGCTAGGGCTGACCTGCCTGCAGCCCGTGAGCGCGTGCTATATTAATAATAGGGCACTCAGACGGCATCAAACAACGTCAAAATACGTCCACTAAAAGTGCATGTTTTCACACAGATAGGCTCGGATTGTTAGTATAATTATCCAACAACATAACGGAAAGGAGAAATGAACGTCTGTGTTTACCTTTAGCTGGATTCAGATGTGTTCCTCTGCTTGTTGCAATTTTAGTATATGTGCTACCAAAGTAACACTGCTCCCTCTCTCTCCTCGTCCGCTCTTCAATTTCAATGAGTTCCGCATCTGTGTATGTCCATGTACTCCGTGTTCAAATAAATACGGGTGGTCATCAAATTCAAATGGCTCATCCAGATCCAGTTGGTCAAAATCGGGTAAAAATTAGGACGTTTGTTGCAGCAAGTCAAAACACTCACTCAGAGAGTGAAAGTCTGGCTCTGAAATCTCATGTCTCGCAAGTTTCTTCTTCTTCTTCTTTGGTGTTTTACTATACAGTCAATGGTGTTTTACGGCAGTTGGTCTCGCGAGACTTGAGTTGTTGCAGGAAGTTACCGCTGGAGCGAGCTTACAAATGCGACTGTTTGGAGTAGTCATGACTGAATTTTTACCCGATTTTGACCAACTGCATCTGGATGAGCCATTTGAATTTGATGACTGCCTGTATTTATTTGAACACGGAGTACACAGATGCAAAGCTCACTGAAGAGGGACGAGGAGAGAGAGGGAGCAGGCAGAGGAAGTGTTTTGACTTGCCACAACAAATATGTCCGAATCCAGCTAAAGGTAAACACAGACGTTCATTTCGTCTTTCTGTTATGTTGTCGGATAATTATACTAACAATCCGAGCCTATCTGTGTGAAAAAAATGCATTTTTAGTGGACGTATTTTGACGTTGTTTTGTGCTGTCTGAATGCCCTATTATTTAATATAGCGCATGCTCACAGGCTGCAGGAAGGTCAGCCCTAGCTTCGTGCTGGAGAAATGTCACATATTGAACATCCTATCACTCATTCAGACAAAAGTAGATCAGAAAATAGGGCCCAGGTTGAAAAAAAACATTAGTTCCCCTTTAATATTCCATGGCCCTGACTTAGCCAAATTAACCTGACATCACTATTGCTAACACAACAAAAACAAAGAACAGATCTGACTCTTCATACCTGCCGACATAAGGCTGTGAAAAAGACAGAGATTTTCTGGGGTGTTGTAAAATGGCCTGCCCTTAACGCCCCTGCGCCCATTGCCTAAATGTTAAGAAACTTAAACCATAGAGGTGACAGATGATCAGAGACAACCCATGAGTCATTCTGCAAAACTCATATGGGTGGTTGTGACACAGAGCCTATTTTTTCATTTAGTTAAAAAGATTTAAAGTACATAGGTTTCACACCTTGTGGTCTTTCATTATGCCAACAAACATGAGCAAAGCTTATACGTAACATTACTTTTGTTCTTCTTTCACCCTTCTGATCATTTTAAAAGTCAAAGCAGCAATTAAAAAATTGCTTTTCTTATCCATCTGCATGACACACTTCACAGTATGTAAAGTCATCATGTCCAGCCTCAAAAGCTTATCTCTTCGCAGCACCTACTGTTGTTATCCCAAAAGGCAGGAAGGGTGCCCAGCATGATCTGTAAAACACAGATGACATGATCATCCTCAATGAGAATGAAAACATCCTTTAAAAAAAAAGAAAGTCAGCTCCCACTTTGACGCCCTCAGACCCAGAAGATTATTATCAACCAGCACAGGAGGAGTTATTCACACAGAGAAACAAAGATCATCTCGAGGAGCAAAAGCTCTCAGCATTTATTGGATTATTTTTTTTCTAAGAACCAAATAAAATCGACTTTATCTTTTATGTGAAGAAAGTCTGCATTGTTCCCCGGAAAAAAAAGAGCTCTGTCTTTGTCCTTCCTCAGCCAGATGTCTGAAAATTGAAAGAGCATTATTGATTTTCTATAAAGCCCTATACTCCTCTAACAGTTTCCCCCATCTCTTTCCTCTCCCCCTTTGCCCTCATTTGAAAGCCTTTCACCCCTCTCAATCCCCCAGCAGAGCAAGAGGCCAGAGAGTCACAAGACAATAAAAGAAAATGGCGTAAGGGGTTTTGACAATCACAGATAGAAGAGGGGGCGGTAGTGTCAGCCAGCGAGACACTCGATGTACTGCGGGAAGCTCGGAGTCTGCCATTGATTTTGGAAGAGGCAGCTTAGAAAATCTTGACTCCCACTCACACCTTTAGAATGGCTCACTAATGGGCTTCCACTCTGCTGAACGAGCTGCTCAGGGAGCTTCTCGGAGAATCTGCAGCTGATTGTACAATTTGTGCATGTTGTTGGCGTGTGCACGAGTGTGCATTTTTTTGCCCTCTTGTGTGCTTATATTTGGCTTTCACTCTACCCATAAATACCGGGAAAGGAGCCACATAACGGACATTACTTTAAGGTGCATTCTGTGTGTATAGGCTTGTGTGCTGTTAAGTGAATGCCTGAGTAAAACATGCTGCATTCTGCTGTTATTCTTGGATGACCTTAGAGATGCGACCGTGTGGGCGCTTTAGTGTATGAAAGAGACGAGTGAGGATTGACGACATAAGCCTGGGTCAAATGTATGTTTGTCCACTCTCATCTCATGTCTTTTTCTGTCCTCTCCCTGTCCAGGGGAAGAGCCTTCCTGCCTATCTGTCTGCAGACGCAGAGGAAGGAGAGGTGTCCGATGATGACAGCGCTGATGAAATTGAGGACGACTTCAAGCTGAAGAGCAGTAATGTAAGACTGAGGAGCTGTAAACATTATGTGCCACAAACATGCATAAACAATCGACATAAACAATCAGCCCCTTAAAAAGACGATACTTCACATTACTTGAGTCTTAAATCCTTGTCGTCAGTCACTTTTCAACATTCTCCAGCCATTATCTTTGGTATTCTCCGAAGTGGACCCTATTTTCCCATGTCTCTGTGTTCTCTGGCTACTGGGAGCAACAATTTTTGAAATTGGTCCAGAATTGCATGACAAGGCTGCAGCTGGCAGTGGCCAAACAGGCTGAACTGGGATCCCTGCCATCAGGCTCTGCCAGTTTTCATCCACTAAAAGTGCTTGTTTTTGCCACTGACAGGCTCAGATTGTTATTCTAAGTGTCTGAAAGCATCACTGAAAGAATCCCTACAGAGGAAACAGCCCCAAAATTACTATCGCCAACCCATCAGACTCTATTTAAATAAACAGTAATGTCAACCTGCACAGAGCCAACATGTTTAAACTGGGTGAATCGAGGTTTTATTTCAACCAAACCAGAGTAGTTGATTGTTGGAAAAGTCCAGAGACAAACCAAGACGGCTTTCGTTAGTTTTACTTTGCTTCTGTTGACTTTGACTTTGACTGAAGTGTGTTTTATGATAATAAAATTACTGTTTATTTAAATGGTGTCTGGTGGGTTTAATGATAGCAATTTCAGGGCTGTTTCTGATTAAACAAAGAGGATCTTGCTCTTTAACAAAAGGTCTGTCTCTGTAGGGATCTTTTTTTGTCTGAAATTGTTGCACATCTAAAAATAAAAATGACTTCATGTTGTGTCAATCACGTTTGCACGCTGAGTCTGAAACTTTCGTCAGTCTTTAAAATTTTCAGAACAGGTTTGATTTCCGTCCTTTTTATGCATCCGCCAGAGCCTTTGGAGACGTTTGACCAAGAATCAGTGAAGAAAATGTGGCGGCGGGACACAGCCGCGACAAGACAGGGAACGGGGCGCACAGAATTATTTCATGACTCAGACAGCTCACGTTCAACAGGTCAGATAGTGATATTCAGGTGGAAAAGGATGACGAGGAGGAAGATGTGGACTGCACACAGAATGTGGAGGACAGAGAGGGAGGACAGCTCCGCCCCTTCATGCAGCTGCCGTGCCAAATGAAAGACAGGGAGGGAGTTATGACGGCCATATAGGTAACAAAGGAGGAAATGTGTCTTTTCATTTTGTCACGTATTGTTAATTTTCACAATGAATGGAACAATAAAACGTATCAGAATCATCTACAAGATTTCTGTGCGTAACTAAAAAACTGACTCAGGGTGCAAAGACCTTTAGAATAATAATCTGAGCCTGTCAGTGGCAAAAACAAGCACCGTTAGTGGACATAAATTGATGGTGCATAATTGCCCCAAGTGATTACATTGTAGCCTGTTTCACATCTGCTGGCTGCAGCGTTCCTACTCCATACTGGAACACTTTCAAAAATATTTGTTCCTATTAGTCACTAAAACACAAAAACATGGGAAATAGGGTCCAGGTCGAAAAAAAAATGAAGTGATCCTTTAAGTTTGTGCCTTTATTTTGTTATGAAGTAAGTGGAAAAAAGGCTTCATATTTTGTATTGGCAAAGTAACCAGTGGTTCAGGGTGAACCTTTTCATTGAAATCAGTGGAAAAACAACACATTAAACAGATTTCATAAATAAAACAACATCACAAAACTCTGCTCTTTGAACTTTTGTTTTTGTATTTTACCTTTACCACATATTTCTGTAAAAAAAAAAATAGAAACATAAAAGTGACTCAATTTCACTTTTTCTCTGAGTGCTGTCTGTCTCTCTGTCTGGCAGCCTTTATTTGTGGCTCTATTTGTGCTTCTCTTTCAGTGCTGCTTAATCAATTCATTCAAAAAAAATAAGACCTAACAACATCCTGTCTGGCAGGGACTAATGTGAGAGAATCAAACCCTGTCCTCCACATACAGACTCCACAAACAGAAGTTAGATAATGGGATCTTAATGACATTGTTGTGCTCAACGTAATGACTCCAGTAATTGGGTAGTAATGTTGGTGCTTGTAAAGTTTTACTGATCATCATTGCAGTAATGTTTCGAATAATCAATGCTTAATGGTGCAGATATAAATACTCAGTCAATGCAGTCATTTGAAGTTGCATTTTTTTTTTTTTTTATGCGTAGCCCAGAAACACGTGAGACATGTCAGGGAATCTCATCGCTCTTGAACTTGCCTTGTGCCGTTTTTTTAATCATCTTTAATTCTGTTTATGTATTCCGTGATACAGTAGTGCCAAGGTCCTCCTCACCACATTTAAAGCAGGAAAACACTCACTTATTTTCCAGATGGTTCCGTTGTGTAACAGAATATGGCATCATTCTTCCACATTTAGCTGGAGGCATGAGGCCGCAGATGCCACTTTGGATGATCATTGCCATTTTAAAAGAGTGGTGGCAGGTTTCCACTGATGAGAGGTTTTGGATTGAGCTCATTAAACTGGTGTGCTTTCACAGCAGTCGCCACTAACGCTGCATTAAAAGTGTGATGTAGCTTTTGTGCGGTGATACATGGGTTTTGTGATGCTGACATTTAGTGCATTAAATAATCCGTCAGAACTGCAATGCAGCTCGTTCAGATGTTTGTTTGTGATGTTGTCTCTAAGCATGAAATAAAAGAAGATACAGATAAAATAAAGGGAGATAAAATGAAATACACTGAAGCTTTTACAGCACACGCAGTAACTTTTTTTGCTCGTCGAAATATGAAGCAGAAAATATGCTCCAGTTATCTTTTGCAGGTTTAAAATATACCATATTAAATATAAAACACACTATCTTGCAGCAGCTATGAAAAAAATACTGAAGTTGTAACTCTTATGCCTGCAGGTGGCGCAGGAGTCAAAATTGCACCACTGATAGTTTCTATACATGTAGTTGGTGCACATCTGCTGCTGCAGTTACTCTGCAGCTGGTTGATATTTAGCAGGGTAACGATGCGTGTCATTGCTCTAAGAGGACACTGTTCTCCATCATCTCCTGTCAATACAAGTGTCCTTGCACTTTTATTGAAATGACCTCCTTGGTGTGTCTGGCGTCCTTGCCCGGCTCTCTTCCTCCTTCCCCCTTCTCAATAACTCTCCTCTTCTTTCCCACAGGGCAACGGTCATCACCAGGTGGAGTCTCACATCAGAAAGAAACTGGACTCTCTGCTGAAGGAGTCTCGTATCGGAGACAAGGAAGATTCCGACAGTTTCAGCATCAGAGCTCTGCTCCGGGCTACAAGCCAGGGCCTTCAGAAGAACCTGCGGCAGGTACCACCCCAAGGCGATGTGTAGAGCTGCGTGTGGAGTGGAGTCATGCTCGTCAACAGATGAAGAGAAGAAAGGGAAGAGAAGGGGAGGGGGATAAAACTAGGCCACGGTATTAGTCACAGAGGAAAATGGAGAAAATAAAGGGGTGGACTAGTTACTGCACCACTCACAGGTCAAACACACTGAACACACATACGGACAGTCAAGCGGGAAGTCTTCATGCCAGTCTGAAGGGACTGCTGTGTTCACGCATAGGTAGCTCTTTATCCGTAGCATGTCAAAACAGACAGGAAGTGATGAGCAACTAAATGTCTGCAGTGTTACTTAATATTTAATTTCCCTGCTTGCCTCTTGTGCTATTTTTAGAAGCCTCAGTTTCCTGACAGCCATTTTAATGTAGTGGGTGTTGTGCATCAGGGTTTCCTTCTCTTTATTCTAATCCTTCTTTGTTGGTGATCCCCTTCACCTCATTCTGTCTCTAAAGCATTTTTTCTCTCTGTTTTTCTTACTGTAATTTTCCTTTTTTGTCAGTTTCTCTCTTTTTCTTATTTCTCACCCACTCTCCTCTTCGGCTATGCTTTGCTTTATTGGCTGATATCTGATGCAGCTCCTCCAGATACTCAGCTTTAGGGTTTAAGTGTCTCACTGGGTGCTAATGTGGTTGTGATTATTTTCACATCAAATGATCCGCACACATAAATGTAAACAAACACGCGCGCACACACACACACACACACACACACACACACACACTTATAAAAGACTCTCTGAATGTGTTCTTCTTGTCTCTAGAGCTCCAAGGGGGTTCTGAAGAAATCCCAGAGCCGATCCTTCATCACAACGCTCAAACAGAAGGTGAGGAGCAGGGGAAGAGAGGGTGCTCGATTCTTGATCTATTTGTGCGAGGTCTGAAAAGGCAAATTCAGGTTAGTTCAGCTTCAGGTTAGTTGGTAATGAAAAACTTTGCTACTTCATGCCACAAGAATTGCAGAACTTCGTGTGCTTTCACACCTGCCCTGTTTGTTTTGGTTCAATCAAACTCAAGTTTGTTTGCCCCCTAAGTGTGGTTCATTTTGGCAGGTGTGAACACAGCAATCGCAAAACAACTGGACTGAGACCACCTCTTCAAGAATGTCTAGTTACTGATTAAGTGACCTTCTTAGAGAGTAACTAGACCCTCAAGTTCCAGCTTATTTTAACATAAAACAGAGGAGTAAGGAAGCAATAACTGTAGGAGGCATGGCTACGCAGTCTCGTGTGTGGGGACACGGGGGAGACTGACTGACCACCGCTCAGTGTAGAAGTATAGAGCTGGTAGTCAGAACTAACCAGCCATGAGAGGCTACTGTCAGACTCTGCAGGAAAGACAGAGAGTCTGGAGCTTTGACAGTCTCTAGAAATAACTACATCTCTGAGTGTAACTCAGTATTCAACACAATGGCAACCCAAACTACAGCCTCCAACGCCTCTGGAAAACAATTTTGAAGGCTGTGTCATTAGACTACATTATTTTTTGCCATGAGTTCCCATGAAACTGGCCACTGAGTTTATTGTTCAAACATCGACTCATCTGTTTTTTTATTGGAAGCAGAGAGGAAGCCTCCTCACTGTTCTCCCATGGATAAATCTTCCATAAAGCCATACATGAGAAAATACATCTGCAAAATACACCATTTGTAATGTTAATTTCAGTCTGTGGTAGGTAGCAGGATCATAATTAAGACTGCCACACATATCCTTTAATTCCATATGCAGTGAATGCTTGCATTATGCATATCTGTGAATTACACATGCAGATCTAAAAAATGTCCTGTCTTGATTTAGATCGTTTCTAATGTATGTTTTGCACTTATAGTGGAATTGATTAAGATGCCTTGTATTTCTAGAGGTTTTCTTTTGAGATACAGCATCGATCCATTTTACTGTGTGATATAGATTTAGTGTGTGAGTGTGTGGGTGTTTTTGTTATTTTCTCTACATTCCTTCCTTGCCTGGTTATTTCCCACTCTGAATTCTCTCCTCTATCCGTTTGCTTCATTTTACCTTCCTCTACCCCCTCCTTGGTTTACCCACTCACATCTCCTCTTCATTCTTTTATGTCTCCCTCTTTGCATATTATGCATCCTCCCACGTGTGTGTGTGTATATATGCGTGCATGCATGGGTGCATGTAATCTGTTGGCAACCGGCCTAAACCCTGTAATTACTGTGACCCTCATCCTCTCCTCAACTCCGATTTAGCCCTAATAGAGATGTTGCTTCTCTCATGGAAAAACGCACACTGCACCAAATACACACTGGCTATAATTACATACGTTTTACCTAAAACACCCACCGACATTCACAACCATACACTCAATCTGCTACTACAATAATGACACTCTCTATGAATCATACAGAAACACATACAATTTGCCAAAGACACATCATCAGCCACCCTTGTCCACGAAAGAAATGTTTATCTGTGTTAACACATTTATGAGGATATGGGCCGTACTTTTCTGCCTTCATTGTAGTGTGTGCGCTTTTTTTTAAATATATTCCTGTGTGTTTCTCCATTGTCCAGAGGCACTCCAAATCCAGGCTGTCATGCCAAAGCGTGGATAAGGAGGACGACGATCAGGAGGGGTCTGGGAGGGAGGCCGGAGGGCAGTTCAACAGGTGACCTTCGACCTGCTTTACCATATAACACTGACAATCCCTGACAACTGGAAGGTGGGAGCTTTGCACAGTCCGGGGCATCAGTGGTGCCGTGCAAACCACTAAAGCTTCTTCAGCAGTCATTTGTGTTTGTGTGAGGGAAAGAACGATCACAACCACTGACAGCAAAGAAAGGGGAGCCTGATTGGTTTTGATTCCTCCTCCTTTCATGTATCACCTTTGATACATTTAAAGTACATGAAGGACAGCAGGAATGCAAGGCTGCGTTCACTCTACAAGCCTTACTGCTCAATCACGATTTTCTGCTCACATCAGATTATGTGGTCTTAATGTAGTAAGACTTTATGGACTAACTCAGATGTGCAAAAGACCAAAGACAGAACAGCAGGATCAATAAAACTGAGTTGAAGACTAGAGGCATCGCATATAGTTTCAGCACACGGCTCCAGGGGCTCATATCAGTGTTTATTGTATATTGTATCATCAAATATAGACATGCTATTCAGCCTTGGCCGCTGCTTTTATTTGATATTTTCTTTAAGATAAATAATAAAATAAAGTTTTACAGCTTTGCTTTGACATTAAAACCAGTAGTTAAAGAAGTAAGATTTATTCATGTAGTAAAGGTAGCAACACCACACTATAAAAAAACTCTGAAGTAAAACTCCTGCATTTAAACTTGTACTTGAGTGAAAGTACAATGGTACTGGCAACAAAATGGACTAAAGTGCTCATTATGCAGACTGACTCCAGTAAGTATTATGTTTCTGTATTCGATATTAGATTATTACCTCCTATAATTACCTCAAGAGGCAACAGTGAGTCACTGTAGCGTCCAGGCTGCCCTCAGACCAACATGAGTGATCAAAGACGTAGAGCACAGCCCAGAGTCCCCAGTTAGTGGTACAATAAACCATGAATGTATAATAATAAATAGATACTTGACCCCAAGTTGGTGCCTATTCAGTAAAATGGCGATGCTCACCTGGCGCATATGCCACAAGAGGTTTCTAGCTTCTGGGTTTACTTCTGCAGTATGCGGCCCACTGAATTTTTTCTCTGTGTGTTACCGCTCAGCTCATAGACTTCATATTGTGATGGTGTCACAGATTTTTAAACCGCTTTTCTCGTCTCAAGGAAAGTTTTATAAATATAAAACCTCCATCTGTCATAATTGATCTTGTTTGCAGTTTGAGGTGTCCTGTCAACAGTTTTACAGACGTCTCTTTTACAATGGTGGTCTATGGAGAAAATGCTTGTTGGGCAGCAAGAGATTATTTTTTGCTGCAATACCACGAGTGGCCACTGGGAAAAATCGGACGCAGGGCTGAGCTGCAATCCTGAGAGCAGTCTCAAAGAAAAAAAAAAAAACTATAGAAAACAAAGCAAGATGAGTAAACTTAGGCGTGACTGTCCACTGCTGGAGACAGCTTAAGACAAGTAAAGACATGAGGTTTGATGCTTGACTCACAACATTCTTCTAAATAACACAAATCATAATGAAATACATGTTTTTGATGTGGCTGTTTTTTCACTACTATGGTCTTGTTAAAGCTGAGCAAGCTATGGCATATATAGTCCAACGCCACACACAAAGATAATAAAATTGAGTGTTATTTTGATTGGCTCTAAGAGTTTCCTCAGTTCAGTCAAATTTTAAATACTAGTCCATACCCATTGGTAGCTTTGTGACCTTCCACCTATGCCAAACCTCAATGCCTATGTGCACTTTCACATAGATTGACCACGTTAGTGAGTAGAAAAATGTGGGACAGACAGAATGACTGACTGACAGAATGACACACTGACAGTTTCCGTGATTATGTACAGCATACCATGCCATGACTTAGTCATACCAAAATTAGAAAAAACCCCAAACTTTTTAGTAGTTGAGGTAGCACGTTGAAAGGCAGATAATTAAGTGTTTATATGTTGTATTGACTTAAAAGTGGGGCGCACTGGTAGGATGACTGACTGACTGACAAAATGACATACTGACAGTTTCCGTGATTATGTAAAGCATACCATGCCATGACTTAGTCATACCAAAAATTTTGGAGAAAAAAAAACATTCAGCCACAGGGGGAGCCACAGCGGTCGGTCATTTTTAAGCATTTTGCTGTTGTTATAGCGCCACCCAGTTGCCAATTAGAGTTAAATTTCTCCAGTCACCTTGAGGCGTCCTGTTCTACATATCTACCAAGTTTAGTAAAAATCGATATGGCAGTTAGGCCTAGATAAGAAATTAGCTCTCTAGCGCCCCCATTTTGTTTGATCAGGTCAATAATGGAGGGGTCCCCTCAGATAATGTGTGGTCATATGCCTACAAAGTTGCGTGGTGATCGGTGAAACCCTTGAGATGTTATACACCTTTATGTGATGAGCCACGCCCTCTGCAATATTCATTGCCTTATAGAAGCTCAGTTTTAGTAAGTTTTCCAACTTTTGCCAAGAGGGAACTTTAGATATTGGTCCCTAGATTATGTTCACTGAGTTTCATGCAGATCAGTCAAACTTCCTAGGAAGAGATCGATTTTAAGTGTTTTTCAAAAAATTCAAAATGGTGGAAAATCTATATAATCGGAAGTTATGGGTTCTTGAGGCAAATTTGTTCCTCATGAGGAGAGGCATCTCTGTGCAAAGTTTCATGTCTCTACGACATACGGGGCATGAGATATGCCCATTCAAAGTTTGCAATTTCAGTCGGTTGCGATAGCGCCCCCCTTTGGCCAACTGATGTAATATTGCTTCATTCGCATCCTCCCATGCCCCTCTACCACTGTGCCAAATTTCACATGGATTGACCAAGTCAGTGAGGAGAAAAACGTGGAACAGACACACAGACAGAGTCTTCGTCATTATATAGTAAGATTCTTGCCCTGCTGTTAGTTAGTAGTTTTTTCAATATATATCTATTGACTGTAAATTTAGGTTGCATGGATTCAGTAGTAGACCTGTGAAATGCTGCCCCCTGTTTCTTTGGAGCATATGGCCAGGCATTTCACACTGCACCTTTAACATGTAAGCATCACTTGATGTTGCAGCTGGTTGAGGTGGAGATCATTTTAAGTGTTTTATATACTTTTAAGTATATAAAGTTATTAAAAAATAAGTAATAACTGTAACTGTGATATAAATTTATCGGAGTAAAAGATTCTGTGTTCCCCTCTGAAATGTGGCGGTGTAGAAGTGTGAAGAAGCCAAAAATTAAAATACAAAAGTATCTCAAAATTGTACTTAAGTATGTGTCCATATAATGTATTTGTTTCCCCCCACTCCCTATGTGTGTTTGCTTGAATTGCATCCAAAATATTCTACCTCCACTGAAAACCTCTGCTGCTGCAGTTTTCCAACCTCCCTTTGGTATTAGTATGAAGTCATGAGAAAAATGTTGCATTGGAGTAACAAGAATGCCACATGAGCTCTTCCACTGCTCTCAGCACTATCAACTTTATTGCCACAAATTAGATATTCACATTTGAAAGAAACCTAAATCAGAGCATCGGAATCAACCTGCTCTTTTCCCACATTCACACTGTTATTAAATAAACAAAAAAACAACCCTGATATGAATCACTAATGAAGGGGGAAAATCCAGTCCATTTTCATCTGCAGCTTGAATACAGCACAGTTCTCTTTCACAAACAATCTTTATCCACCCCTGTCTCATTTCTCCTCTGTCTTTGTGAGTGAGCATTGGGCAAGACATATGGAAATCCAGCTGTGTTTTCCCTCTGAGTTGCTCTGTATATAATGCCTTTGTCTCTCTTTGTTCTCCTGGTCTTTGGTTGCATATTCATATATGCATGTCACAGTGAAGATTCCTGCAGCATGCATCTGAGTGGCTTTGTGACTGACTGACTGGCTTTGTGCAAGACTGCGTGTGCATCACTGTGTGTGTGTAGTTGTATATATGTGGAGTCTTGCTGCACTGCATGTGCTCCCCATTAAGCTTTTTGCCTTTGATGCTCCTTCCTGCGGTTTGCAAGCTGCCTCACTGATGGACAGTCCTGTCTTGCCTTGCTTTGCTATTGCCACTGTAAATTTTTAAACACGTATATGACTGTGTGCATTTCTTCTTGCTTTACCTGTCTCATATATCTTAACGTGATCTCACTCACTCTCTTCTGTCCTCTCTTGCAATCGTCTTCTGTCACCTGGCAATTGTTTTAGGGGTGGAAGGAAGAGGAAGACGATGAAACTGAGTCGAGATCTGTCAAACCTGGTTGTGTTCACCAACTCTGTTGCCTCACAGGAGTGTCTGAATGAAGGTGAAACGCCAAAGCTCTGACACCTTCACAAACACAAACAAATAGGCACACTGCAATCTTTACCACAAAGATGTTTTCTCATTCCTAACCCATGTTTCTCTTCAGGTACTCCAGGTGACGTTCTGTCATTCAGCGAGACCAGAGCCCAGTCTCTGGTAAATCACAAAGCCGAACAATTCCTGGCTTTTAACCAGAGGCAGCTGTCACGGATTTATCCCTCAGCCTATCGTATCGACTCGTCCAATTTTAACCCCCAGTTCTACTGGAACGTGGGCTGTCAGTTGGGTAAGACAGTTGTCTGTCGTTGTAAGCTTTTGACCTGTATTGAGGCTAATGAAAACACCAGGTGCCTTCCCTTTAGCCACATACCTGTCATTACACATTAACTGACACTGCATACCACATGCACACACACACATTGATTTCATTTGTGGCCTGCACACACTTCATGTACACATAGCATATTGTGTAGTTTGCCGATGCTCATAAATGCAGAGGCTAATTTGTATGTGGACATCAACTCAGTTGTGCAACGTACGTATGTGTACTGTATGTATGTACATGTACATGTGTGTGATCGTGTGTGAGTTTACTCGTAGGGCTACAGTTGGAACAGGAATTTGTGAGGACTAGGGAGAAATACATAAATAAATAAAGAGAAGATAAGCTAATGAAAAAGAGTTGGCACTGAATATTTTTATCTGGGCAGAGATGAGCATTGTCAGGAAATCCAAGAAACAAGGAATCCCTGCCTGTCCCGGCCAATTATTTTTTTTCTTTTTTCTGTTGAATTCAGAAAGCCGTATTGGTCTCTTGAATTTCTAAGAAATCACGTTCAAGGTTTACAAAAACAGAAACCATTACAAAGGAGAGAGGAAGTGAAAGAAAAACACCAAACACTGAAATATATTAGCTTTTGAAGAAGGTGCAATTCTTCCTTTTTGTATCTGTTTTCTTTTTGCTGGTTTCCTTCTCCTCTGTTTTTCCAATTAAAGTTTCAAGGTTGTCACTCACAGCCTTAAAGAAATAAATTAATGTATAATTAAAAAAAAAAGAGGTACATTTTACAAATGCAAAATGACCACTAGGGTGAAGACCTCATCTCCTCATATGATTCTTGCTACACACTATTAAGCATCCTCAGGGATTTTTATAGTGTGTGTACTGCACCAATATCTGTACAATAATTGAAAAACTGAGGTTTAGTGACACTTTATATCTAAATAAATATTTTTCCTTCTCTTTCAGTCGCTCTGAACTACCAGACCGAGGGCAGGATGATGCAGCTCAACAGAGCCAAGTTCATGGTGAATGGAGGTATTGGCTACGTCCTCAAGCCCCCTCCCATGTGTAAAGGTACTGCAACAAACAGGTCGCATGCACACAAACAAGCACCAACACATGCATACAAACCGTTGTTTATTCATACAAATAAAAAATTATTGTGTAAATCGGTGTTTATTTGCATGGGCAGATTATGAGACAAGGGCCCCTGGGCACAGATATCTGAAAGGCCCCACTACTTCACCTATCTAGGAGCAAGACACACAGACTTTGTGGTGGTTCTGTTATGGTTTCAGTTCAGAAGAGGACCCAAAGATTCAACAGGCCGGTTTAAGTTTTCAACAAAAGGTGAGCTTTAATGTAGCCGCTCAAGGACTTCCAATAAAGGCAGGCAACTCAAAAAAAGAAAAAATCTGGGAGCAGAAAAAAAATCCAAACTAAAACCAACCAGGAAAATACATGAAGACCAGGGATGGATGCATGATGATGGCAGGAATGAGGAATGCAGAGGGTACGCAGACAGACTGACAAAGGACAAAGGGAAACACACAGGTATATATACACAAACGACTGATCACAAGGACAAGACACAGCTGGAGAAGGAAGACATGGGCAAAAGGAGTGAAACAGGGGTCGGCTGACAACAAGGGTGAAGCAGACAAGACCAAGGGTACGTCCCAAGTCTCTTATTTTATACTGCTAACTCCTAACTCCTTACTTGAACCGGAAGTCATTCAAGGTCCGCCATCTTTAAGGCCGTCTCATGTATTCCTGCCAGTAAGGAGTTAGCGTTAGGCGTTAGGAGGGATCTGTTAGGTGCGATGAGTAAGGTAACACGAGAGGTTCCTAACAGGAAGTCTTTTTCAGCTTGAGGCCATGACGTATAAATACTCGCCCCCTTCGTCTGTCTCATTTGAACGAGATGGCGGAGAAATAGTGCAAGTGTATCCGTTACAAGCATTCTTTGCAATGAAACGCTGTAATTCACATGCCTACGTGACTACAAAGAGTAACGTTAATGATATTTCGTGCAAGACTGTCATGTTGTTATTAAGTTTATTTCATTCACAACCCGTTGTGTTGCTCAGCGGACTGTCTGTGATGTGTGGCTGTTAAATGTGCAGCTGCTCGAGTGATATAACACCATGCACACACACATACACAAACACATTTGCCCATCATTAATTGTCCTGCATGTCATGTGAGTGGAATAATGTTTAATAGGCTGTAGGTAATATTAATATTAATTATTATTATTACTTTCATTAATGTTGTTGTAAGCTACTGTCATTACCGTCTGTCCTGCATCTCTCTCTGTCTCTTTCTCTCTCTGTCTGTCTCTGTCTCTCTCTCTGTCTGTCTCTGTCTCTCTCTCTCTCTTTATGTCTCATTGTCATACGGATTAAAGTTAATTTATTATGTTGATCTATTCTGTACGACATCTAGGCCTATTGCACGTCTGTCTGTCCTGGAAGGGGGATCCCTCCTCGTGCTCTTCCTGAGGTTTCTACCGTTTTTTCCCCCGTTAAAGGTTTTTTTTTGCGGAGTTTTTCCTTATCCGCTGTGAGGGTCCTAAGGACAGAGGGATGTTGTATGCTGTAAAGCCCTGTGAGGCAAATTGTGATTTGTGATATTGGGCTTTATAAATAAAATTGAATTGATTGAGGTAGACTGACAGGTCTGATGTCTTATTCAGGCTTTGATCAGCGAATATAATGTGACTTGGGATGTACGCCAAACGCTGGCTCCGTTATGCAGCAGATCCAGCTGCGCCACCCATAGGTGCCGTCGTCACCAGAATAGGACGTCGCTTTACGTGATGCTTCAGAGTAAGGCCGTCTCATGTCTCTTATCAGCAATCCTCGCTCCTCACTCCTAACTCCTGACTCCTTAAATGTTTTCCTAAGTGGGAGGGACTAAACAGTTAGGTAAGGTGGCTAGGTTAGGTGGTTAGCAGTAATTTTAAGGGACTTGGGACGTACCCTAATACAAAACAGGTGTGAAGGGAAGACTCAGGGAACAAGCAAGACTTAACGATACAGGTGTGGCAGAAAACAGGCGGGGAAACACACAAAGACAGGAAGTAAAACCAGACATGACACATGAGGAGGGAACCTACATAATAAAACAGGAAGCGGATTAAATATGAGCTAAACAACATGAAACAAGGAAACACAAACAGAAAACTCATAAGAAAAGTCCACAAGATAACAGAATATGAATCCAAAACCCAGGATTATGACAGGTTTTGCTTCTTCTTATGTATCTGTTATGTATCTTTTTGTGGTTTTATATCTCTTTAAGGTCATCTTGTGTATTTTGTTAGTTGTTTTTGTGTCTTATTGTAGTCATCTTGTCCTTCTTTGTCAGTTTGTGTCTCTTTGTAGTCATTTTGTGTTTTTTTGCCTGTTTTTGTAGTTACTTTGTGTCTATTGCAGATCCTTCTCCAGCAAGGCTAGAAACTTGGGGCCCTTGGGCCTGTGCTTGGCATGTCCGTTCAGTAATCCATCCATGTTTATTTGTTGCAATTGGATGTGTAGAATAATAAGTTAGAGGCATGGGGACAAAACAGGTATGTGTGGGGATGGAACTACATTGGGTATACAGAGATAAATACATGTGGTATGGGAAAGAAGGTTACAATCTTGTAACCCTAGTTCTATTAGCACAGGCAAGCCCTTCACTGGACTCTATGGGCAATACTCTCCTCCAATTATGAGCACACATTCGTCCCTACACCCTCTTCAGCGATCAGTGTAGGAGCATCAGTGCCCCTAGGTAGTGGGCTCCACCGATACTAATAGAACAAGGGTTACAATATCGTAACCTTCATTCTATTTCACACAGACTCTGCTCTGACCAGTCTGTGGACGAATTGTCATCACTGAAGAGGTAAAGGGCATCTGAGCATTATATGCCTCCTTATATACTATGGGCTCTGTATGATTCAGGTAGCCACGTCCGGATTGGTTAGCTCCATTTATGCAAATTTAAGTGGGCAAATGTGTGCTTGTGATTGGATAAGAGTATTACCCACTCCAGCAGAAAGTGGAGCTTTTGTGAAATAGAACTATATATGTAGCTCTGTATATAGTAACCTATATAATTATATTGATTTCCCATTTAAATTAAAACATTTCACACTATTGCATGTCTGGTATATTTTCTATCTGCTTGCTACATTGAACCTCTCTGATATTTTCAGATAGTGAAATATTCAAATGCAAGAAGCACAAATACAGGAAATAGAATTAGTGATACATTTTGCATCAAGGTTTTTTTCCCCAAGATATTGAGGTTATAAAGATAATCTCACCCTCATTATAGTTCTGTCACACTGTTATTTGTTTTGAAATTAGATACCAACTGATAGGTGGATACAAAACAAACCTGAGGCAATGGTGTGTCTTTCATGTCGTGCTACACATGTAGTTTACAATGCTTGAATGTTTTTTTTTTTTTCACTCCTTTTCATCACCTGCAAAATGTCAGCCAGATTTAAATGCACAAACCAGGAAGAGGCTCAAAATGACCACAAACAGACACAGGAAGACCACAATATGATGCAAATGAACTGCAAAGAGACACAAAATAACTACAAAAATGGGCAGAACAGCCACAAAATGACTACAAAGAGACACAGAGTAACCAAGAAAGACACAAAATGACCTCAGAGGCACAAAACAGCAACAAAGATACACAAAATTACCTCAAAGAGACACAATGTGACTACTGTATGAAGATACACAAAACAATCACAAGGAGACACAAAATGACTTCAACGAGCAAAACACACATTTCTTTATTACTAAAAAGAGATGTAAAACAACAAAAACAGAGGCAAAACCACCATAAAGTGTGTGTGTCTTGACCCTATAGGAGAGGGGCCCATTGCTCAGGGGCCCATTGTTCACGTTTATGATGCAAACCTTAAAGCATACAGAATTCATGCTCTTGAATTTACTGTAGCCACCAAGTCAACATTATCTGATCAGTTACAGTGAATATATCTGTTATTTTCTCCCTTCATTTTGCATATAAATATTACAAATAACTGCAAGAAATAGACCAATGTGAGAGGATTGGATTTTAGGATTAAGTGGTGACATAAATTAAAGTTCTTGCTCTTCTGTCTTTCATTCCCTCCAGGCTCCTTCAACCCATTCAGTGATGACCCGCTTCCAGCTTACCCCAAGAAGCAACTCATTCTTAAGATCATTAGCGGACAGCAGTTGCCCAAACCACCAGACTCCATGCTGGGGGACCGTGGAGAGGTATAAAAATACCAAAACACATACACTGTGTGCACATATTCTCCATCTGTCTCTTTCACACACACACAAACACACACACTCAGTATGCTTGACTACTCAGAAATGTTCAACTCACCTCAGCATGAATATTTTCAGTGTCATAAAATAATTAAAATTATTGCACTTTTTCCCCTCTATCAGATTATTGATCCATTTGTGGAAGTGGAGATCATCGGTCTACCAGTTGACTGCTGCAAGGAACAGACACGAGTTGTTGATGACAACGGTTAGAAACACACAGATCTCGCGGGTCAAAAAGTTGCTTATACTCTATTATAGATATTATAAACAACAATATTTCAAATGGCAGTGTGGAAAAACTTTGACAATGTGAAAGGGGTCACTTGTGGTGATGAACCTACAAAGAATTATCAAGTTTCAGCTCATTTGTTCCTTGTTTGCTGTTCGGGTTCACTCTCACTGCTCTCTGGTTTTCGCCTGCAGCTCTGGCAGCTGTTTTCAGTGAAAAAGCTTTAAAATCCCACTGCACACTACCTGCTCAGTACCAAACAGCAGACAGACACAGTCAGAGACTACCTGGCGAACATAGTGGAGCTTTCAGAAGCTTAAGAGCCAGATATTTCCCTCAGGAGTTGGTAGAGACCAAATCCAGAGATAAAAGAGAGTGGAAATTGGGCTTACATTTGCCATGTGGCCAGAAACAGGAGTCCAAATGAATACCATACCATGTCCATAACTGCTGTATATGTAAAAAGCAACTGTTTGCTTACAGGTTTACCATATGACCATATGATATTACACTGTTGTGTTCACAACTTATTTCAGCTACCTCCAAGTGGCCACAGAATAAGTTGCAGGAGGTTTAAGAATTATTTTAAGTTCTAAAAGCTATTATCTGAGTATCGCATCCCCCCTCTCTGTTTCCCAGCTGCAGCTGCAGTTTTTTCCCTTACAGAAAGCTGACTAGTAAATGTTTGAGGGTAACAGATATTTCATGTCACATCTAGCCAGGCCTCCATAGTTTAGATAAACAGTAATACATAATATCACATTTCTTCAATTTTAATATTTTAGACTAAGTACCTACCACTGTATTTTCAAAACAGGCTAAATTAAGACATTGCGACATGTCATGGCAGAGGCAGGAAAGCACAAGCATAAATCATTAAATTAATCATGGTTGAATTCCATTTACCTGTTGTAAACAGAACTGAGCTGATGTTAATATATACTAATATATTATTAGTAATGCATGAAATTTTCTGCTATTGATAAGTAAAAATGTCTCCTGTGAAAAGGGCCTGTTGATCAAACATTGTATTGATCAAATTTAGGGAATGGCAGCAAACTATGTTGCACATCTTTTACCCATATAGATATGACACTTAAGCTAACCAAGGAGTGGATAAATAAATCAGCCACACTTTTTTACCTTTGAAATGGCTACAGATTATATGTATATTTACCTTTAGGTAGTATTAAACATACTATACTATATATATATATGCAGATCCTCCATTTGGCTTTGAGCTGTGGAGCACTATCAAAAGTGAGATTAATTAATTAGAGGTATAATGGAAGCAGAACAAAGGTTACAATGTTGTAACCCTAGTTCTATTGGCACACGTGGAGCCCTCACTTGACTCTTTGGGTAATACTCCTCTAATCATGAGCATGCATTTGCATACTGAGAAAAGCATAAACATAGGCAGCCAATCAGGACAACCATACCCGAATACATGTGGACCCCACAGTATATAAGGAGGTGGATTCCCACTCTCTTACACCCTCTTCAGCGAGTGGCATAGGAGTGACAGGGTCCCTAGTTAGAGGGCTTTGTCTTTGCTAATAGAACTAGGGTTACAGTATTGTAACCTTTGTTCTATCCCACACAGGCTCCACTCGCTGCTAGACTCTTTGGGTACAGTAGGTGGAGCCTGATAAATGAATGCACTGTCGCAACATAATATCCACCCAGTCACACTGATCTTGATGGGCTGAAGGTTACCACCTACTTCTCATAACATAGGCTGTGGCAGTGGAGAAGTAGGGGGCCTCAGCCAACCCAGGTGGTATGCAACTGAACTGGGTGGAGCTGTGGCCTCACCTTGCAGGGGTCTACACGCAAGCAATAGACACCCTGCACACCACAATTCCAGGGTCATCAAGGTGCATGGAAACAAGTTGGTGTATCATGCCCATAGGGGAGTCAGGTGCAACACAGCTGACATACACCCAACCCTTTACACCAGTCCTGTGTCATTCTAGTGAGCACAAAACCCTGAAAAGAAGCCAGACATGTCCAAGAGATAGAACTGTATGAATGGGCAGGGCATAGTCCACAAAGCTGTCATTCATATGTCCCAGACACTCACCATGCTGAACAAGGCCACCAACCACAATGGGAGGGTTACTATCCACCTGCCTGGAGGCTTGGGAGATACACTCACAAAGCCATCTTGCAAGGTCTTTCTTGGATAGGGCCTTACTGGCCACACCATCACCAGAGCACAAAAAGAGCTGTTCGGTGCATCTGACGGGGGCTGTGCATTCAACATAACATGCCAATGCAGAAAGTTGGCAGTAGATGCAATTTTACCTCCCTGTTTTCCTCATGGGGTGGAGGACAAAGCATCTAATTCGATTATTCTCGACCTGAAACTAACTCCTTATGTTCTTGGGAACAAACAAGGGATTTGGTCTGAGGGAAGCCCCACTGTGGTTACCACAAAGCAGCAAGCAACTGAATCGGGAGTATTACCCAAAGAGTCCAGTAGAGGGTGGAGCCTGCATGAGATGGAATTGAAGGTTCTGCTGTTGTCAGCCTTACATGTCCCCAGATAAGGGCACCTAACAGGGGGAGGAGAAGCCTCCTTAGGGAAAGGTTGTGGAGCTGGGAGCCAAACAGTATTAAGAGATTAGTGTGCAGGGCATTGATCCAAGAAATAAATAATTTGACACATCACTACCACCAACTTCATTTTTTCCCAGGTTTTTGTATGTCTTGTGTATATACATTTGATGAGATACTGATGAAACACATCATGATTACAATAAACATATATATGTGTGTGTGTTTTCCTTAGGTTTTAATCCAGTATGGGAGGAGACTCTGTCTTTTACACTTCACATGGCAGAGATTGTCTTGGTGCGTTTCCTTGTCTGGGACCATGACCCAATTGGACGGGACTTTATTGGTCAACGGACCGTTGCCTTCAGCAGCCTGATGCCTGGTCTGTGCAGAATTCCTCTGTTTTTTCAGCTTTATTTCAAGAAAAAAAAAGATAATTTTTTTGTGTATTGACATGAACTTAAAAGGGGGCACAGTTTGTCACTGCCAGTTACAATCATTAGCTCTGCTATTTAACGCACATAGACAGACCGACTCACTCACACTTAAACACATAACTTCCCTTAAGGCTTTGGCAGTGCTATGGTTATGGGGCACATTATCTCGTGTCTAGTGAACCATGATTTGTTTGATTTGTATAGTTAAAGACCTGTGGCTTGGTGGGTTATATTTGTTGTTTACATCCATCAGAGTTGTCCCTGAACTCCTGATGCCCTCGCCTCAGGCAAACTACTATGCAACCACCAGTCTGATGACAGCCGATGTCTTTCTTTGACTCACTCCATCGCTCACTCTCTCGCTCGCTTAAATGCTTTCTCCCTTTATCTCTAACAACAGGTTACAGACATGTTTACTTGGAGGGGCTGACTGAGGCTTCCATCTTTGTGCATGTGTCAGTGCATGATGTCTATGGAAAGGTAAGTGCTGTATAGTGCTGGTATTTATGGTAACATTCCCCCTGTGGCCCTCTTTTGTCAAAGAAAAAATATGTTTCTCTCAACACATCAATCCACTTAAGCTCAATCCTTTGTCTTTCTAGTGGAGCCCTCTAGTCCTGAACCCCAGCTTTACCATAATGCACTTTCTAGGATCTAACAAGGTATCCTGGTGCTCTGAGGCTCTGTGTGGTGCTGCATGAAACAGCAATGCATGATGCAAAAGTGCAGTGTGTGTTCAGCCATATCTCTAATGATTTATTTGCGTGTGACATCAAAGCGCTGAGTCATACAGTTTGCTAATAAGGTCATTTTTATTAGAAAACAAACAAACATTATTTCAATTGTGGTTGTCTCATTTTCAACAAAGATGGAATAATTTGCAATGTAAGCGTGCATGTATAAGCCTCATTGGCTTCTTGCATAGTGTTTGTTGTGGTAATATAAGGAGTAATGGTGCCATCTATTGGCAATGCATCTGAATGCATGCAATTGTTAACTTTTGCTGTAAATTAACTTCAGAATGTGGCATATGTTTTTATTGTTTTCATGACAATTAACACGTTCAAGCTGTAATGTGTGAAAGAGTTGTGTTATGTCTTTGTCCAAAGTGAACCTATGTTGATAATTTGTTTCTGAGAAGCACATTTGCTCTCCTTTTCTTGTTATCTCTTTTCCCCCTCTTATTTTTTTCTGTTCTGTTCCTTCTGCCTTCAGGGTCATCAGCTGCGAGGTATCCGTGGTTTGTTTAACCGTTCTTCCAAGTCCTCTGTGGATACAAACTCCGGTGGCCTTCGGAAACGTTCCATCAGTGACCACCTCCTGCGACGCACAGCCAGTGCCCCAGCAAAGGGACGAAAAAAGACAAAGATGGCACTATCAGAGTCAGTGGCTTCGATATCAGACCAAAAGAACAGCACAGGTGCAGGAGCAGGAGAAGAGGGCATGTCAGGGAAGGAAGGAGGTGTGGGGAAGCGTTACCAGCCACGAGGCCCCCTCACCCATAGACCTATCTCCATGCCCTTAGACAGGCTTCTGCAAGGGCAGCTATCCCTCTGCTCCCCAGACAAGGAACAGAATGATTTGGGCTCAGACACTGTTATTGGTGGGTACTTTCCTTTCATCATTCCAGTTAAAAAATTAAATATTATTTGGAATTATGCAATTTATATCCAAATGATATAATTTCTAGTTTAATCAACAGAAGGTATTTGTAAGATTCATGATTATCTAATAGGCTAAATCACCATGACATCACACTAACAACAACAATCACTTCCGGGTAGACAACTGGCAATTGCCTAAACATGCTGCAGATGATTCTTATACACAATCTTTAGCATTCTCAAAGCCAACATCAGCTAAAAAAAAACTTACTGACCTGTTGTACACATTAACAATAACACAGCGACAATGTAGCTGGCCACGCTTGGCTGTTTTGTAAATTTTCATGCTCATATTGAAAACATAGCATGACACATTTAAATCATAGACACTAATAATTTGTTTCAACAAACGTTAACGTTAATTTTAAAACAGAGCAATGGCTCACCTGCCTCAATGCTTGTCAGTAATGTTAAGTAACCTAATGTTAGCCTAACTAAGTAAATGCCAACAACCTCAAGTAAGTAAGCTCTTTGATCACTGTCATTGAAATTAGATGTAAAATTTACTTGTCACAAAATACTCCCCACGAATTTGGTCATGAGGACCAGGCTGCAGAGCTGACCCAGCTCCTAACTCTGTAAAGCCCCCATCTTTTTGATTGACACAGACTTTTGGTCTGTCCCAAATGTACTCCCTTTTCAGATTCTGAGTCCAGAGCTGTCTTTGAGCATGTCTGCTCTTTGCAGATTGAAACCTGAAAAACCCGAACCCTACTCCACTCTGTATTATTGCCTGGCATGCCCATAAACAACAAAACTAAGCCATTTTCTCTTGATATCTCAGCTGTTCCTCGTCCCCGTTTACTCAGCATCATTACATTGTATGTACGTGACACATACTTCTACCTGGAAGTTACTGTAACACATTGTGATTTGGTCTATTTAAATACTACCACACATCAAACACCAACAATCCTAGGCATTGATAACAGAGTCCCTGCTGGCTTTGGGAACAGTTCTGCTGTGTTATTCAACTAATTTCTTTAAACTGTAGGATAAAAGTGCTACTTTCTTTGTGATGAAATGCTTGGAGCTGACATGACTTAAAGCAGGATTTTGCATTGACTTGTTTTGCACATTGATTGATGTAAGATGTGTTCTTTTTTCTAATTCTCTCCTTTACTTATCATACTACAACTATTTAAAACTCATGTACAATAACCATGTAAACTGACATACTACAGCCTACTCTCCATGATACCTTAACATGCCTTTTCTGTCCCATCTTCATTTGTTGTGCTTCTTTATAGTAGAGAACTGACTAGGATATTCCTACAGGTAATCTAAAATACCTATTGTCTGAAGGTTGCATCGTCCAAAAACATACCAATTGCGTCCACCCAGTGTATTTTGTTCAAAAGTGGTCTGAGAAATATATTGCTGTGTCATCTGATCCCATTCGACCAATCCAATCCCATTAGACCATCTCTTTCCTAATTGGATGTCCGCAAACATGGATTCTTCCTTTGTTTTAACCTCCATGGCCTCATTTTCCAACTTCCCCTTCACAGTTGTATTTGGTGATCCATTTGTCTTTGTATTGCTATTGCCTTGTATTGGCTGGACTGTTAATTGTTGTCTTTTAATTGTTGGTTGGCTTGGTGTTCTACATCAGAAAGTGTATATAAATCCATCTTTATTAATCTTTTTTTGTTCAATTATCTGTGTCCACAGGAGCTTGCCCCTTCAACAGGCCCAGGTCTTCCTCTTTGGATCCTTTCATCGAATCTTCATTTTCAGTTGAACCTAATATCTCCTCCCCTTCCAAGACGTATATCAACAGAAATAAAGAAACTGACCAATCAGATGAGGCTTCTTATCTGGTCATTGGCGGAGGACAAGCAAGAAAGGAAGAGGAGTATGCCAATTATCAACCAGAAGACAATGAAGTCAACAAATCAAACATGCTCCCAACAGAAACAGAGAAAAAGTATTTCGTCTCACCTTCTAAGAACAGCCAGATGAAATTAGATAAACCAGAAACATCATCAATCAGCACAACATTCACAGTTGCACCTTCAGTCTCCTCATCCTCCTCCTCTTCTGCCCCCTCCTCTTTGCCCCCTCTCTCCCCTGTCAGTATGGACTGCGATCTAAAGAGTCCCAGCTCTTTGCATGACAGCACCATCTCCAGACTCATTGATGCTGTGTCTTTAGGCAATGAGCAAGACACATGTGGCTCTATTTCTGCTCTGATTGGTCAGTTTGAAAACACTGTTGAACAAAATGATTCACACACATCTCCTCATCATACCCCTTTCTGTCACTCAAACTTCAGACCTACCACCCCTAAAGTGCTGCAGGATTCAAGGGCTTCTCTTAAGAGTAACACTGCATCAGCTAACAAGAAACACCTATTAAGTCCCCAAAAAGTGGCCCAAAAAACAAATCAAGAAAACAAGTCAGTGCACCAGATTTCCCACGCAGATTTGCCCGCTCCAGCTCTCCTCTCGAGCCCAGAAACGGCTGAGCTTGAGGAGGTCTACACAATTCTGGATGAGGAAGTGCTGTTGCCTGTATCAGTGTACAACCTGAGGAAACAGACAGTCCATGTTCAGGCAGACACTAGGGAAAGCACACCCTCAAACAGCTTGGGGTCCTCTCCAGCAAAGGTGGCACAGGGTTTTGGGAAAGGGAACAATGCAAGCTGGGATGATATGAACAGAAAGAGAGGTGGGAGTGAAAAAGTTGAGGAGGCAGAGGAGAGTGTATATGAAGAAGTGTATGATCCACCAGCACTAGTACCAGGAGCAGAGCAGGTGACTAAAAGCTACATGGGCTCCTCTGTAAACAACGAACGTTTCCAGTTTCTCCATGACTCAGCTGGAAATGCCTTTGCAGAAGTGGAGATAAATGTCGACGAGGATCCATTGGAAATTATGATGACCTCACCGAGACATGGCAGCCAATGGGAGGGACTTACAAGTCCAACCAAACGGCATGCTATTTATGAAAACCATGAGTCCACTCCCAGCTACTCCCAACAAAAACAGCCTCTGTCATACTGTGATCCTCAGCAGCAGTACCCATCACGTGCATTTTCACAGTGTTCCTCCCCAATTAATCAACCCTCCTATCAGCTGCCCAATCACCACCAACACCACAACAACTTCCAGCCTTCACCTTTCCACAGACCTGTCAACTCTAGACCCTCCATCCCGAGCCCACTGCGTCAGAACAGCTATCCTGTTCCTCAGAGCAATTCTGATGCCTTTAACAACAGCAGAGACTACAGCAGTTCCTACATGCAACAGAAGAGCTATAGTGGCAGCCAGATCCTGATGAGGTCTCATCAAGATAGGCTAGGGTATAAACAGATGGAGAGGGAGCAAGTAAGGTGCTTCCATAATGGTTTCTCCTCTTCTGAAAGCCTCCCTGGCCAAGCTGCTTTGTCTACACACATCAGTAGAGACAGAGGCTTATATTCCCCTTCCTCTGACTGTGATGCAGTGTACAACCACCTGGACTATGACTGCATTACACCCCCATCAGAGTCTTCAGCTCCTCGAAACACTAAGCCACACTGCCAAAGTCAAACACAATCATACACCCCGACTCATTCATGGAAGCAAAAGGCTCCCCTTATGGCTACAAGGCAGCAGTCACAGCCTGAGTCCAGAGATTATCTACACTCAGATTTAGGCCCTTTATCATCTGGACCCCAGTCTGGTACCATAGAATCTACTGTCCCCAGCCCATGTAAGTCCAAGTCCCTGGGAGACCTGACCTCTGAAGACATATTATGCAACTTCCAGAGCAAATACAACATTATTAGTCGCAGTTTCATCACTCCCCATATGAGGAAGCAAATGAGGATTGGCACTATGGGGGAAGTAACATTCCAATCACAGTCTTGTGATCCACTCACAGAACAGCTACGTAAGCTTGTCAGTCTGGAGGGGGATGACAGTGACAGAGATAAACCCCAGCCTCCTCAGTTGCGTCAGGAAACAAAATCCCCACTGTCACAGCCACAAGCAACAAGTGTAGCACCTCTTGGTCCCAGGGATGTAGATGATTCCCCTCCACCTCTTACGCGGCGCCTATCTTCTCGGAGCCAAAGCCGAGTGCGCCATATCAACAGCCGAGCCCGTGAAAGACAGCAAGAGGCTCTAAAGCCTCGGGCAGGTTTGATGATCAATAGCGCCGCCGGCATTGGTGGAGTGGTATTGAGGAGTAAACCCGCCTCACAGAATCCACCAGCTAACAGACACTCTACTGGTTCTTACATAGCAGGCTACCTTGGTCAGCTGGAGGACAGGGGACTTCCTGAAGGAGCTTGTACATCATTACGCTATGGAAATGGGGATCAATATGGAGATCGGTACTACACAGATGACTCTCTTCCACCTGCGGACTCCAACCACTCTGTGTCAGAGCCGGAGGTGTACTTTCTACTCAGACTGTAGCTCTAACCATAACCTGAAATGAGACAATGACCAAGCAGTGATTCTCGATGACATTCAGTTACACCAAAAGCCAGAAGATCAAGGAAAGAAATACTTGCCATAGTTTGTTCCCATGTCCCAGTTTCCCATATAACAGTTCAATAAGTTTTATTCTGGGCTTTCAGAGAAAGATGTAGTCTGTATAATGTAAGTGAAACATTAAATGTAATCCATGGTTGGAACTGACAGCATGAATTTTCTGTATGAAATGTCCACTATTCAATAGTGAATGGTCTTTCTAGTCTGGCAGTGTATTGTCTATATTCTGCTTAATGTGTAAATGTACTTGGGAACATTGATTCCCTCCAAATGGCTTCCTAGACTGATTGTACAGATACTTATTATCTTTGTCCCTGTGATTTACTGTCCAAACTACGTACATTGACTATGAAGCAAAAAAAAGGCTTATAAGCAGAGAGGGAATGTCTTTCTTTGTATCATTTGAATGTGTAGTATGATCAGACTGCTACATTTAATAGATGGATTCATCTTCTCAAAGACCATATTTAAGTCTTCCTTCTCTTTTTGGTGGTATTTCTTTATTTGTCTTGTGTGTAAATATTCCTGTCATTGTTTTTAAACTGGTTTTAGTTGAGAACCAATTCTAACTGTACATTTATGTTTGTGCATGTTACCTGTGAACATGTCAAGCATGACTATGCACCAATTTTACAATAGATGTTGCATCGCCCAACAACATTTGCACAGAACAAATAGTTGCATTGGATACAACAGAGGACATAGGCTTGTTTGTATTAGGTGCAATAGAGTACATAGACTTCCGTGCTTGGACTTGTTGCTCTCTATGATTTGTAGACTCTGAAAACATACTCGGAAATTTGAAGGATTTGGAGTTTAAAGGTTTTTATTTTTATAATTGCTTTGATACAGACTGCAAAAATAATCTCTTGTTGGTTATGGTTGTTTTATTTTGTATAACTTAATTGAATGAATAATCAAAGTCACAACTACACAGGGCCAGGCCAGGCTGAGGTTTTTTGTATTGTTTCAGTGTTACGCCATCCTTTTTTCTTTGTAATGTTGCTCATCTGACGACTGTGAGCATTTTCCTACCAATGCAATAAAATATTTAAATATTTGATTTCAACAAATTACTTGTTCAATTCCTGTTTTGCTCAACTCGATACACAGAACATACAACAGATAATTAATCTTGAACGGAGCTTCAGCTCAAAACTAATTTATTGAAAGTCACAAACAGACTCATCTTTCCCCATATGCCACCTTAAACATAATGGGATGTAATTGCTCATGAAATTACCGTGTAATTGAGCTGACAAATTGCACACCTGTTGCTCTGGGCATAAAATTCCCCATACTGGTTCAGACAGACTGCCACACTTTGTCAAGTTTTATGGATCAATTGCAGCACAATATTCCATATAAATCTAAGACAAAAGGACACACACTTGGATGATTTCTTTCATGTTTGATATATACCTTTCAGTTCACTGAAATAGCAGATACAATGCCTCCCAAAACTTCTCCCTCACTTATCCTGAGGTTCAGTTTCTCAATTACCTGGACTCATTCGAATGACATCATTCGTTATTGCATCGATAGAAAACATAGTGTACACACATACACACACCCCACAACTTCATAAACACAAATCACTTGCAAGCATTCAATTGTTTTTCCACCATCACTCTAGAGAGGAATAATTTTGTCTTGCATGCTGCTTGTGTCATCAGTTTTACTTCCTTGCAAAAGGTTTTACACCTGTTATAAATACTCACACCAACACTTCACTTGTGCAGAGTGGGGGGGTAGCCATGTTTAGTCAAGATGCTATTTTCAGAGTTGACAATTTACCTTGTGATAGGAGCATTTTAACCAGCTGAAACATTTTGTGTTTATAATGTTCTGTTTTTGTAGGTAACTGAAATGAGGCTAAGGTTTGAACATGTGTAATTTTTGTGAGGTTTGTCTTTGTTAACAGGAACTGTTGAACATTGTCTATGAGGTACCATTTATTGTGAACTTAATTCTTTCTATTATCAGGTTTGATGAGGCAGGTGTGCTGTGACTTGTGTTTGACACAGACTGAATTTATTGATTCCTATTCTGACATTCAGGTAACAGTTATTTATATGTGTTAAATGTCCAGAAAAGTTGCATCTGTGTCTTGGTTCCCCTTGCTCCTGACTCTGTGGCCCTCGTCAGCCCTCTCCCTGCTGCTTCTCAGCATAGTGGGCAGACTGATGGGGCTGGAGGTGGTTGAGGCAATAGTGTGCTCCCGGTGGGGTGCACCGCTCAACAAGAGCCTCTCCCAGGATGGAGACGTGATCATCGGTGGACTTTTTAATCTGTATTACAGACCTTCAGCTGTGGATCAGAGCTTCACCAAGCGGCCTCATTATGAACCTTGCACTGGGTAAAACTTTAACATGTATTAATTTTGAATGTTGTCCAGCACATTACTTTTTTGTCACGCTCATATGTTTGTGTTAAAATACTGATAAAACTTAATTCTACAAAATATTAAACCAGAAAGTTAAGCAATGTCTTATACTAAACCATTAACAAAAATGTTGTTTAAGATAAACAGATTTTAATTATAGTAGAATTATTTCAATAAATAATTTTGCTTTAATACATTTATTTTGGTCTATCTAAAATGTTTGGACTGTTTTTATATTCAAGCCTATGATGATTATTTTTTTTACCTTTCACTGACTGATATTGTAGTTTAGCTTATTTTTCTCCTGTGGTCTCAGTTTAGATCTTGAGTTATTAAAATATATATATGCTATGGCGTTTGCGGTGGAGGAAATCAATCGTAATAGCACCTTGCTACCAGGAGTCAAGCTGGGTTACCGTATACTTGATAGCTGTGCCAGATATCCCTGGGCTCTGCAAGTTGCATTGTCACTGGTCGGAGGAGACACACAGAGCTGCAACTTCACAGCCTCTGTGCCTCATTCTGAACAACCCGGAGAGACAGCAGGTACAACCTGATATTGTTTAGTATGCAGTTGAAATTTGATGTGCCCATGAAAACAACAACTGATGTGATTATAGTGTAAAAATGTCATCATGTAATTATATGTCTAATGCTATCAACAGGTGTTCAACCTGTTCCTTTGCTCATTGGTCCTGGCACGTCAACAACAACTATAATTCTGTCCAGGATCCTGGGGCCTCTCTCTGTGCCAGTTGTGAGTTTTCTTACCTCATGAAATACACCTGACGAATAGGAGAGCTGAATAAAGTCTTCATCAAGAGACTGATACTATTCTAAAAGCATTTTAATTAAAAATAAAATGTTATTTTTGTCATAAAAGTAGTGTCAAATATTTTTTTGCATTTTTCTCTCAGATCAGCTACTTGGCAAGCTGCCCCTGTCTGAGTGACAGGCTGAAGTTTCATAACGTCTTCAGAACAATCCCCAGTGATATTTACCAAGCCCGGGCCATGGCACAACTGGCCATACGCTTCCACTGGACTTGGATGGGAGCTGTGATTGTAAACAATGATTATGGTCAATTGGCAGTACAGGTGTATGTCTGTTACGATACTGTAAATTGCCTAAAAACCTTTCTTGTGGATCTCCTTTATAAATAATACAGATAGCAATATATGTATGATCATATTTGTTGTTTTGACATCCAGGCATTTCAGGAAGAGACTCAGGGGAAAGGGGTGTGTTTGGAATTCATAGAGACTGTCCGCAGAGAAACTATTGTCAGTGATGCCAGACGAACAGCCCTCACAATTCAAGCCTCGACTGCGAGGGTGATTCTGATCTTTTGCTGGTACACAGAAGCAAAGAAAGTTTTTCTGGAGCTGGCCAAGATACATGTGAGCAACCTGTATGGAAATTTTTTATGGACTAAGGTTTGTTGTTTGTACAAATCAAAATGTCATCTGTTATTCTTGTTGTGATTTATTGTGTTCTCTTACTGCAGGTGACTGACAGACAGTTTCTGGCAAGTGAAGCTTGGAGCACCAGTGATGATCTTCTCCAAGATCTTGCCATCTCTGAAGTGGCAAGTGGTGTTCTAGGTGTGGCCATTCGTAGTTCAACGATACCTGGATTTGAAAGTTATCTCAAGAGTTTGCACCCAATTCATCGTCCAGATGATGAATTCTTACGAGAATTTTGGAAAATGGAGTTTGAATGCAGTCCTGGAGCTACGCAAGAACAAGCTTCTCTAGCCCCTTGCAGTGGCACTGAGTCCCTGGCGGGAGTTCAGAATCACTTCACTGACACCTCCCAGCTGCGGGTGACATATAATGTCTACCTTGCTGTTTATGCTGCAGCCCACGCCCTTCACAGTCTTCTGTCCTGCCCTGACAGAGACAGTTCTTCCAGAAACAACAGCTCCACCTGCTCCTCTCCAAAACATATCAAACCCATAGAGGTAAACATTATCCCTGTGTCATCTTAGCCGTTAGAGTCATGGCTTTTCAAGTTTTGACTGAAAATTTGAAATGCATTTTTGTATACAGATTTAAAAAAGTAGGTTTCCACATCACTTGATGCTTTCAGCTGTTGCAACACTTGAACAAAGTGAATGTCACCACACCACACGGGGACATGTTTTATTTCCAAGATGCTGACATTCCAGCAAAGTACGACCTTGTCAACTGGCAGAACACCCCTGAAGGGTCTCTCAAACTTGTTTTGATTGGTCGTGTGGACGGGTCTGACCTTCACCTTAATGAGTCAGCTATTCAGTGGAGCACAGGATCCAATCAGGTAGTTGCATCAACCAATTGTCTACCATCAAGTTTGCCTGTGTAGATTCACAAGATTATGTCATGGAGAATATAATTTGGCTTTTTGTTTAGGTGCCTGTTTCAGTGTGCAGTGAGAGCTGCCCCCCAGGTACCCGAATGGCTGAAAGGAAAGGAGAACCTCTCTGCTGCTTTGACTGTATCCCATGTGCTGAAGGGGAGATAAGCAATAAAACTGGTGAGGAAATGTCTCTTAATTTTCACCTTTGTTTTTTTTTTTCATTTCCTCTCTCCTGTTTTTTCCTCTTCCAGGTTCCCATTACTGTGAGCGCTGTTTGTCTGAGTTCTGGTCCATTGTTGATCAAACTGTTTGCATCCCTCGCCAGTTGGACTTCCTTTCCTTTAATGAAACTCTGGGCATCACCCTGACTACTGCAGCTGTGTCTGGTGCCACCATGACAACAGCTGTCTTTGTGGTGTTTCTTTACTACCGTCAAACACCCATGGTAAGAAGGGATGTAACACAAATGTTGTATATATTTGAATTATTTTACCTTTTTTCCTTTCATTTTGTCTATTTAGGAAATGGCATTGTATTGGCCCTGTCTTTGTCTGTTAATCTGATTCACCCCAAGGTTCGAGCCAACAATTCAGAATTGAGCTTCCTGCTTCTCCTGTCGCTGAAGCTCTGCTTCCTGTGCTCACTGGTGTTCATTGGTCGTCCATCAGTCTGGGCTTGTCGGTTCCAGCAGGCAGCTTTTGGGATCAGCTTTGTACTTTGTGTCTCCTGCCTCCTGGTGAAAACCTTGGTAGTTCTTGCTGTTTTCCGTTCAGCTTGGCCTGGTGCTGAAGCTTTGATGAAGTGGTTTGGTCCCGGCCAGCAGAGAGGAAGTGTCTGCCTCTTTACATCTATACAGGTGTGAATATATTTTTCTATGGATTAAATGATGGGAACATTTCTACACTTGATATAAAACACTTAAATGTTTACTTTTCTTACAGATTATCATCTGTGCCATATGGCTGTCCCTCAGCCCCCCGGTGCCTCATCTTGATCTGGGTTTCAAAGGATCAAAGGTCACCCTGGAGTGTGCCATGGTCTCTGTGGTGGGCTTCTCTCTGGTTCTGGGTTACATTGGTCTGCTGGCCTGCACCTGTCTTCTTCTGGCCTTTCTTGCTCGGAAACTCCCTGACAACTTCAATGAGGCCAAACTGATCACCTTCAGCATGCTGATATTCTGTGCTGTCTGGGTGGCCTTTGTCCCTGCTTACTTTAGCTCTCCTGGGAAGTATGTTGTAGCTGTGGAGATTTTTGCAATCCTGGCCTCCAGCTATGGTTTGCTGCTTTGCATTTTTGCCCCCAAATGTTTTATCATTCTCTTGAGGCCTGAGAAAAACACAAAGAAGC